TAATCATAGAAGAGAGGAACATTGCTAAGACAAAGCAGTGAGACACTTCTCTCTTTTGGAACCCTACTGGGCTTTAGTGAGGCAGGGTGGCAGGACCCATCAAGGAAAAGTAAATGACCATTGAAGCAAAAACACACACTAATTTTCCAATCAGCTGACTCTCAACCTTCTGAAGTTTATAATTCCTTTGACACCCATTTTAGCTTTTGATTTACCCAATTAACGAAAAAACACTTTTATACTCCCATAAGTCCTTCTTTGTTATATTGTCAAAATGTCACATTGTAATTATCTTAAAATCACTGCCCAACGCTTAAATTTCTTTCTGTCTGAGATTATTGATCAATATAATTTTAAGGTTTTTACTACTTCATAATTGAAAGCTGCTTCATTACGCAGCATACCTGCTGTTATGATGTTATTTAAGAATGAAGCAAGTGAATATCTAATCTCCTAGTACTCTTTAAAAATCATTTAGTCTTTTTCTCTTTATAACCAGGATTTTAAGGTGACTTTGTTATTGTAGTGTTTAAAGTTGTAAACAGATGCTTGTCATGTCTGTCAGAGATATTGCTGTAGCTTCCTTACTAGTCTGCTTCTCCTCTACCTTCAAGTGATTATCACTCAGTGACTGCTTGTCACCAACAGGGTAAAACTCAGATTCCTTCTCATACATAGCCTTTAAGAGTCTCTCGAGTCCAGTCTCTAGCCTTGTTTATTCTATTCTTATTTCCTGCAGATCTGCCATTAACACACGGCTTTTTCATTATCAACTAATTCACCAAGTGCAAAAATTAGAAGCATTGTGCTTCTCAATACCCTATCAATTTTCATACTGTCTGTAGGCTACAAATGGAAAATAGATGTTTCTTATTAGACTGGTTTCTTTCCTTTTGAATCTCGCTCATATCATTTAGATCTTTAAAAAAAAAGAATTTAGTGGTTTTTACTGGCAAATTAAGCAATAGCCTTATTTATGGAACATTTTATCTTCAGAGTTTGATACCTAATTTTAGCTTTTAAACTTTTTAGTATTATTTGTCTTTTGCCAGTTTTGGGGCAAAATGTTATTTGGTAGTTTTAATTTGTAACTGCCTGGTTACAACTGAGATTGCCAGGGCACCTAGCTAGTTGAAACAAATATTAACAGACTTCAACAGAGGTAAAGCCTCCACTACTATGATAGTGGGGAACCTTAATACCCCACTAAGTTCTATGGCCAGAAACTCAGCAAGGGAACAGCAGCATTCACCCAATTGAACAAATAGACTTAATTGATTGTACAGAACCTTTCATCCTGCAGATGAAAACAGTATTGTTTTCATCAATACCTGTAACCTTCTCCAGGATTGATCACATTATAGCCCACAAAACAAGCCTCAGAGAATTTAAAAGAATTGAAATCATAGCAAAACTGGAGACCAACAAGTCGGAATAACCCAGAAGATATTCAGATGTTTGGAAACTGAACAGCGTGCTGCTAAATGAACAGTGAGTTATGGAAAAAAAAATCAAAAGAGAAAGTTAAAAAAATTCTTGAAACAAATGAAGACATCAGTATAACGTTATCAAAGCTTATAGGACACAGTCAAGCCAATGCTAAGTGGAAATTTCATTGCAAGCAGTGCCTGCATCAAAAAACTGGAAAGGTTAACACCTAATCATGCATCTGGAAGAAAAACAACAACAACAAAATAATCCCAAGATTAACAAAAAAACAAAAATCAAAATAGGGGAGAAAATAAACCAAAGCAAGACCAAAAGAACAAATATATAAAACATACATGATATGATATATGATATAATATACAAATGTCTATTATAAATATGCAATTGTATGTAATAAATATGTAAAACAAATATGTAAAAGAACAGTATCCCAGATGCACATGGGGGATATGACACTTTATTGGGGCCTGCAGAGGAAGGAAAGCAGAACAAATTGGGCAATTACCCCAGCCAAGCATTGGCAACAAAATATCTGGGCAAATGGAGACTCTATAGTGGACTATGTCAGCCAAAGCACCTTGAAAGGATTTCCTTATCTTTGGATCATTGAGATTGACAGCATTTCAGAGCTGTTGAAGCCACTTAAGCAGAACCCTCAGAGCATGCTCCACATTAGGGACCTGAGGTACTAAGGCGGTTGAGAGGCTGTGTGTGGCTTCTCCCTTTATCACCTTCACTTCTGGCAGATGCAGGTAGAAGAAAAAGAAAATTTGGAAACAATGGTTTTGCCTATTTTCCCCAGGTCCTCAACTCTTACCACCCTTATCAACAATGTATCCAATCTACACCCATTCTTACATATTCATGGGCCAGTAGGAATAATCAACCCAGTCTGGTCTCCCCCTGATCCAGCTCACATGAGGCAGCAAATGTAGCTCTGCCCAGCCTGGTCTGCCCCATCCCAGCTATCATCCCGTCCTGACCAACACACCATACTGGTTCTAGGATTTGCCAGTGGATGATATGAACTGGCCTAGCCTGGCTCACCCCAGATATGAGCCAATCATTTGTAAGTGGGTATCTTTCCCTGGCCTGGTCTGGGCTGCTCCTTATCTTGGTTCTTGCGCTCACCTGTAGGGACTAAGCCCCAGCAAAGGAGTTCCCCAAGCTGCTCTATCAGAACCTCTCCCAAAGCCAGATCTTGAGCATACTGGTGGGTCCATGGGCCAGCCCTATTTGTTCCATCTTCCGTCCTAGCAGGGACAGAGACTTTTCCTGACTGGCCCCTACTCTTTCCAGTTCTTACTGTTGGATGTTTTAGCCCAGCCAAGCCTGGTCCACACCCAGACATAGCACCCACATGGCTCAGTAGTAATAAAGACCTAGCCTGGCACAACCCAGAACCAGTCCACACTCATGCTGAGGGAGACTACAGCCTTGTAGATACTCTTCACAGAATATCCATTCAGAACTTTCACCCATTTTTAATTGGGTTATTTGGTTGCTTTGGTATCTAGTTGTTTGAGTTCTTTCATAGTTTGGATATTAGCTCATTGTTAGATGTGTAGTTTGCAAATATCCTCCCCCCAATTCTATTTAATCTCTATAACAATTCATCTATTCTGTTATTGCCTTTGTTATGCAGAAGCTTTTTAATTTTTATGCAGTCACATTTGTTGTTACATTTGCTGCCCCTGCTTGTAAGGTCTTATCCAAAAAATCTTTGCCCAAAGAGTTGCCATGAAGCTTTTTTTCAGTTTTATGTTTTTTACCTTAGGCTAAAATTCTTGGTTCTCAATGACATTACCATAATTTCTCATGTAATTTATTCATAACATATGGTGAGCTTAATTTCAGTACAATTTAGTACAAATTTAGTATTAAGTTTTTCAACTTTATATTTAATTATAATGTTCTATTATATTAAATTATATTTTTATGTTGAGTATTCCCATGGTTTCAAATCAAAATTACAAAAAGCAAAGTATAGTTAGGGAAATCCTGAATTCGTTTCTAGCTTCTCCTATTGTTTTTTTTTTTTTTTCAGGGCAGGGTGCTTGTTAATAGGGGTACATACAAGCAAGCACATGTATTTGTGTATACATACATATCTGTATTTAATCCTCAAGTTTCTTCTCCATTTTTCTTAGATGTAACATCTTGCTTTCTACTATATCTTGAAATTTTTTCTTTAACAGCATGCAAGCATTGCTTTAAACTTTATTTTTATATTTATAAGAGAGAGGGGGAAAAAAGAGATAGAGAACTTCTATCCGCTGTTTCACATCCTAAATGCTAGCAAAGCCTAAGGTTGGCTAGGCTGAACCCAGGAGTTTAAATATATCTACTCTGAATCTGCTTCTAGAAAATACTCTGAATTGTGATATATAAATGTGCCTGGTTTCAGAGTATCCTATGTATAAACTAGGATATCTTAATGTTATTTCAGATTTCTGTGATTTCATAAATAAGGAATTTTTCAGTTTCATTTATAGTCTTTGGTCTTTTTCTACTTGTATCTGTTTAAAAATTTTTCATAACCAATCATGATTTTTCCTTGAACTTCTCCATGGAATTTACTAAAGTATTATGTAATATTCATAGCATAGACATTTTTTCAGTCCCTGCTGAGAACCCATATTCTATCTGCCTGTAATATACCTTTAATATTCTTTTATTGTGTATCCAACAGAGAACAAAATGTAAGCTTGACTGACCAAAATGTAAGTCTTTAGCCTCTTCCTGGGTTAGGCAAAAAATTTAGTATACTTTATTTAGTTTAGTTTATGCTTATCCCTGGTCTCCCAGTTTATATGCTGCTACTGTCTTCATCATACATTTTAATTTGTGCTAAACACCACAAGGCATAACTATTACTACTTTTTAAAACTTGTTTGAAAGGCAGGGGACAGAGAGAGAGTTAAGAGACGAGAGATCTTCCATGCCTTGATTTCACTCTCCAAATGCCTGCATCACCCAAGGCTGTCCCAGACTGAAGCAGTGAATCTGGGGTTCAGTTTGGGTCTCTAATGTGGGTACAGGAACACAGTTACTTTAGCTGTCGCTGTCTGCCTCCTACGTGCACATTGGTGGGGAGCTAGAATTAGATCTAGGATTTGAACCTGGGCACTTCTATATGGGATACTGTGTTCAAGCAGTATTTTAACTGCTGTGCCAAAGTCCTACCCTAGTGCTATTAATATACACACACACATATATATATATATAAAATCTGTATTATTTTGTTTAAAACAGTTGTATGTGGTAAAAATTGTCCTTCTGTAAATGGATTAAAAAGTAGGAGCTCGTGTAATTTAGTTTCACAACCAGTAATTGTCAAATTTAGGATTTAAACTTAGACTATGTGAGTCCAAAATTTGGTCTTTTAAACAATATAAATGGAAATCATAATTATTTTTTTCTTCCTTTCTCACTGTTAAAAGAATGACATAGACCAAAATGTCTTATTTAGTAATTGTACGATTTTTGGACTGCCTAATGGGAACACTCTGGCTGTCTGAGGATAAAGTTAATTTTTCCCATTCTTTTAGCTGATATAGCCCAGAGATACAGAATAAGCAAATACCCAACTCTCAAGTTGTTCCGTAATGGGATGATGATGAAGAGAGAATACCGAGGGCAGCGATCGGTGAAAGCGCTTGCTGATTACATCAGACAGCAAAAAAGTGACCCAGTTCAAGAAGTTCAGAACTTAGCAGAAATCACCTCTCTTGATGTAAGTTGTCACCTTTTGCTAAATCAAATGAATATTGCTTGTTTAATTAATGTAGTAATTAATTAGAATCTGTCTCATGCAAGCAGGAAATCTGGGCATTCTATGGATTTGAACTTTTCTTGAATTGATTGTCAAGGGAATTGCTAATGTTTTACTGAACTTGTGGAGAAAGTTGCACTAATTTGAGTTAATTGAGGGCAAGGAAGAGCATGAATATATAGAGGAAGAAGTTACAGTCAAGCATCTACACCCAAAGCTTCCTTGTTAGTGACCTTTCAGCTCTCCTGTCTCCCTATGGCAACCCTGTATGTCAGGTCTAGTGTCCTAAAATCTCTCTCTCTTAACAATAAACTTTGAAATGTCTTTTCTTTGTATACCTAGTCATACAAACAACAGCAAATGCAAAAACAGATTAATTTTAATGACTTATTGTCATGTCAGGCTTGGAAATTCATTTTGTACTACTGAGAAGTTAACACTAACCAGTTATCATTTCATGGATGCTATCAGAAAAAGTAAAACTCATGGGTCAGAGACAAAGAGCTTCATTGCTCACATCACAGGAAGCACTGTGGGCATGTTTGCTCTTACTTACTCTAAGTCCTAACGAGGCAGCACATGGGGCCATGATGGGTCCCTGCACTTAGAGTAGGCTGTGGCAGACACTGGGCCTGGGGAACTCACTTTTTCACAGCCAGCAGCAGATTCTTACCTCGCTCAGTGATGCTTGTTGCAAACACAATCCTGAGAAGTGACCTATGCAGAAAATAGAGTCTTGACATTTCTGGCTCACGCATGTAGTGAATAAGAGACCCATATGAGTTAATGTGATGTTTTGACACACTTTATAATTAATTTCCTTATTCAGGAAAAGACTCACTGATTGTTTATTTTTTTTTTGAAAACTTAAAATGAAATGCTGGAAGGAAATATTTATAGTTTTATTTTACTGTAATCCAAATTGTTTCAACTGAGTGTCATCTTTACTAGTTTTAAACTAGGTGTTAAATGATAAACATTTGGAGATAGCTGAATAGCAAATGGAGCTGTTTTGGTACTGTAATAAATAAATAATATGTTTATAAAAATGTTTATTTGCAAAATAATTACATGCCTTATTTTACAGCGCAGCAAAAGAAATATCATTGGATATTTTGAGCAAAAGGATTCAGACAACTATAGAGTATTTGAAAGAGTAGCAAGTATTTTGCATGATGACTGTGCCTTCCTTTCTGCATTTGGGTAAGTGTCTTAATTGACAGTATGCTATTGAGTTCGTTTGGCTGCCATGTTAAATTCCTGAAAATGAGCTTTCTGAAGATTATCTTGGTCGTCTCAAAGTTACCAGCCATTCTTTTTGCTTTTATTTGTTTGAAATGCAGAGTGACTAGAGAAAGATAGATCTTCAGTTCACTGATTCAGTTCCCAAATGGTCATGATACGTAAGGGTGGGCCAGACCAAACCCAGACCCTGGGAACTCCATTTAAGTTTTGCAAGTAGGTTGTGGGAACTCAGGTACTTGGGTCACCTTGTGTTGCTTTCCCAGGTAGATTAACAGGTGGCTGGAACTCCAGCAGGCATTCTGAACGGGCTGCCAGCATCACAACTGGTGGTTTAATCAGTTGTACCGCACAATGCTGGCTCCTCCTTCTTAATCCATCACTCTTAATTTTTAGCAAGGGTTTGAAAGCATGTTTGTTTCCTTAGCCTATTGTGTTTCATTATGTTAGAAAAAAATGGACAAGTTAACAATGAATTCACGTATCCAGTTATTCAACTCATTATTGACACTGTACCAGGGCAAACATTAAGCCATGAGGTGAGAGTAACACACTAAAACAACACACTTTATCCTTAAGAAGCATGAACTTTATTTATCTTCATATATTTTCAATTTTCTGTCACCTTGCTCTATATCTTGCCTATCTCTTAGGAATATTTCTCCTAAAAAATTATCAAAAACAAAATAAAATGTTTAAAAAGTAGAAAAAAAACCAAAATTCTTCCTTCGTAAAGGTTTTGTCTGGTATCCTTCTAACCATTTCCTTAAATTCTAGAGCTTTGAGCCATCAATTGTTATTACTATTTTGTTTTCAAGCTGATTCTTTTCATGAATTGCTTTCCTTCTAAAAACATGTTTCTTTCTTGACCCACCTTTTATCTTTGGAGCTATATCATCTCTCTTTTCTTTCTTTCTTTTTATTTTTATTTTCATGATAATTACATGATTGATCAGGGTGGGAAGGATTGAGGGTTAGGGATAAGTGGGTGAAGTAATTATTTCCAAATTTGCTCTTTCTTCTTTTTGTTTCTAGGGGAAGGGAAAAGACAAAGGGGGAAGCCACACCCAGCTTCCCAAATGTCCTAGTGCCCAGGGATGGGCAACTGCCACCCGATATCAACCCAGGGTCCTGGTGTCTACATATCCCGAGGTTTCTGCCCAAGTGGTTTGGATAGTTCTGAAATGCTGTCAATTTTGCCAATCCAAAGATGATGCGATCCTCCCAGTGTCCATTGGCTGACGTAGTCAACCTCAGGTTTTCATTCACCCAGATTTTTGCTGTCATCGTTTGGCTGAGGTAGTTGTCCAATTTGCTGTGTTCTCCTTCCTCTGCTATGGCACCAAATGGGCTGCCATATTCTCCATGTGCATCAGGGTCTGCGTCCACTGCTCCAACTGTTTCATTGAAGAGAGCATATTCTTGCAGATGAGTCCAACGACCTGGGCCAGGCCACCTGAGACCCACCAGATCTTCAGCTCCTGGGATCATGATCCTGGCACCTACCTCGTAGGCAGGCCCTAGGACCTGGGTCAGGAGACCTGAGCCCTGCTGGATCTCCCACCCCCAGGGCTCATGAACCCAGCACCCACCTCACAGGCAGGTCCAAGAACCCAAGCCAGTGACCCAAGCCCCACCAGATCTCCCACCCCTGGGACTCACAAACCTAGCACCCACGTTGCTGGCAGGCCCCAGGATCCAGGCCAGGCAACATGTGCCCCACTTCCCCCTGACCCCCAGGCCTCACGAATCCGGCACCCACTGACCCCAGCTGGCCTGACTCACCTCACTTAAACATCCGCTATCATATTGTACAGCCTGGTTCAGTTTAGTCTGCCCCCAGTTCCAGTTCCTGCTGGTGGGTGCAGCAGCTTAGCTCAGCCCAGCCTGATCCATGTCCCATCCCTAATGTGAATTGGCTGGTGTTGCAACCCAACCTGGCTCTTCATGTACTCTGTCCTGGTTCTCAGATCTTCCAGTGAATGTTATGAATTGGTCCAGCCCGGTATGTCCACAGACATGACCCACATGTATGCCAGCAGGTGCTATTGGTCTGGAGTGCTTCTTGCCTTGCACTTACCTGCAGGGACTGTGTCCTGATGAAAAAATTTCTCATACACCTCTATTGGGTCTCCTCCCAGTGGCAGTTCTTGTGCATACCAGTGGGTCCTTGGCCCAGGTTGACTTTGTCTGCCTTCAGTCTTGCTCAACTGGCCCATACCCATTTTGGTTCTTACTGTTGGATGTTGCATCCCAGCAATACCTGATCCATGCCCAGACACAGCTTTCATATGGTTCCATGGGCATCAAAGACCTAGCCCTACCTGTGCTACATTCACCCTGGCTCTTACAAGTAGCAGTGGGTGCTGGAGTCTAGTTCAGTGTGCCAATCCCCCGACCCAGTCAAATCCTGCGCCGGTGGAGGCTGTAGCCATGTCCAGCCCAGCCCACTGCCACCAATCTGGCTCTTGCCCTCACCAGTGGAAGCCACAACCCAGCAGGGGCGTACTCTTTTCTTTCTTCTTACATTTTTCCAAGTTAGTTTTTGCTTGTCTGCCTTGATTTTCTCAAACTCTAAGCAACACAAAAACTTTAAATACTTGGCCGCTGACTTTCACATCCATCTCTGTAATGAAACTTGTCTCATCACAGCTCAAAATTAGCAGGGTGTTAATTATCAAGTCTAACGGCCTTTTTGGATCTTAAAACTCCAGATTGTCTTCTGGATGTTACACTAACCTCCGCTTTCACTTTTTCTGCTGTGTCTATGACTTTCTCTGTTTTATTTTTCTTTCCCTCAAAATAGAATTAATGGTTCTATCCGGAATCTTTCTTATCAGAGGTTATCTCAGCCATCCTTTAACTTCCATGCCTTATTATTTTATGTTAGTTCATAACTGTTAATCTCAATTACAATAGCCACCTTGAGTGCAGCCTAAATTTCTGGCACAGTGTATTCCCTCAACTTTGTAACTGTCCTTGTTTTGATATTCTGTAGATTTTGTTTGTGTGTGTGTATTTTACTGACAGCATTATTTTTTGAGGATCAACATACAGAGTTAGTAGGTGAAACCCCTCCCCAGTGACATTCAGGTTCTGTTCCCCAGCTAAACAGACCTGACTGCTTATCCTCAAACATTGCCACCAGCTTGTGAACTGGAGCCCTTGCCCTTCCTGTTCCTGTATGAGGAAGGGCTTCCCCTGGATTTCTTCTTATGGGGACGTTCTTGGCCTGATAATATGAATAATGAATAAACATATGCTTTTTGTATCTCCCTCTGCCAAGCTGTCAGCTCTGAGAGTGAGGTTTCTGTCTTTCTGGATCACTGCTGTATACCCACTGTCAGGATCATGCCTGGTATAAAGAAGCACATAGTAAATTGTCATTGAGTGAATGAATGAATGAGTAAACCATGTTCTTTTTTTCTGTACCCACTTCATCAATCTTGGTGAGCACTTCTCACCTCTATCTGCTGCACTACTATAATGAGAAATATCTTAGTGTTCAGTTAATCCAAAACTAATTTATATAGAGAGAAAGTTAATGCAAAATTTGTTGTACAGTTAATCAGTAAATACCTATAGAGGCTGGCATTGAGGCACAGTAGTTTAAGCTGCCACCTGCAGTGCTAGCACCCCAGATGAGTGTTGGTTCGAATCCCAGCTGTCCTACTTCTAGTCCAGCTCCTTGCTGCCCAGAAAGGCAACAAAAGCACATAGATCCCTGTCACATCTATTCTCAGACTCTTAACTTTGGCCTGGCCTAGCCTCAGCTGTTACTGCCATTTGTGCAGTGAGTCTTCAGATAGAAGATCTCAAACTCTGCTTTTCAAATAAAGAAATCTTAAAAATAAGTGTTTTTAGAGTTGGTGCTGAGTGTGGTAAGACAAACGTCCACTATAGTGCTAGTGTCCAATGTGGGCACCGGTTCATGTTACAGCTGCTCCACTGCTGATCCAGCTCCCTGCTTACTTGGGGCCTGAAAAAGCAGTAAAGGATGATTCAAGTCCTTGAGCCCTGCATCCACGTTAGAGATCCAGACGAAGTTTCTGACTCCTGGCTTCTGATTAGTTCAGTTCCAGTGATTGGGGCCATTATGAAGTGAAACAGCAAATGGAAAATCTTTCTCTCAGTGTCTTCTCTGTTACTCTGCCTTTCAAATAAAAATAAAAAATAAGTCTTAAATATTTTTCAGTATCCATTATATGTCAGATCATATGAAAAAGTGAAGGAAATGACAACATGGCACTATATTTTAGTAATATAGATTATTTTATCTGTTTTTAAGGAGTTTTAGTCTTAAAAAAATGTAAAAGCAGGAAAATTATGGAAGAATCTGACCTACAAGCAAATGATAATGTAGTTATAGTCTATGTGACTCAATAATGATATTAGAAAATAGGTCCAAAGCAGTTGTGTTTTAAAAAATTTATTTTATTTATTTGAGAAACAGAGAGAAACAATTTTGATTCGTTGATTCATTCCTTTAATGCCCACAAGAATGGTCCAAGCCAAAACAAGAGGTAGGACTCAATCTGGGTGACGAACATCATTTTTTGCCTCCCAGGGCGTGCATTCCCAGGAAGAAGGAGTTGGGTGAGGAGCTGAGATTCAGCCATGGGCATTCTCATGTGAGATGCAGTTGTCTTTACTGCTAGGCAAGGCACTTCTCACCAGGAGTTAACTTTTTTAGTACTTAAACTGCCAGTCCAATTTCATAGCCTATATTTGCAATAACAACTAAAATTTTCCTTTAGAAAAATCTGACGTGGGGGAGAATCAAGATGGCTGGAAAGGGTAAGGACATGTTTAAACAGACGGAGAAATAATTAGCCAGTGTGAAGTAGAGAGGGCACATTCCAGGAAATGGAAGAGGACAGAACAACAGCAGAGGGGTACCTGGAAGCTGACGACACAGGAAAGCAGCAGACACAACGGTGTGGTTTTTGCAGTGACTGATACACCAGCGGCATTCAGCAAATGGCGATCTGAACTCTACTAGCAGTTGAAACTCCACCAGCAACAAGGTTCCACCCAAGACAGATCCGGATAGCCCTCAGACCTAATGACCAACAGATCAAGAACTTTAATATTGGCACATCAACCTCCATTTCTTACAGTGTGGCAAAGAATTTAAGACTGCAGGGGACAACAGTCAACTGCACATGTGCTGAGCTCAGTGCATTGCACTGGTCTCACAGGAAAATAATACTGACTGTGGCATCGAACGGATCAAAATAGGTCCGTATGGCCCTCAGACCTATCGGCCAACAGGTACCAACATTATTAGCACTACCAACAACCTAGCTGTATAGGACTCCCAATGTCTCCCTAATCCTGGAACCTACTCCAAACCAGAAGTGGGAGAAAGGTTGTGCAGACAACAGTGCAGTCTCAGCACAGGATCACGGGTGGTGGAGAGGGTGAGCCAGGAGCTAGGGCTACGGAGTTCTTTGTGGAAATCTAACATAGGAACCCTGACCTGGAACTCGCTGGAGGGAGTGACACAAGTGACTGCAAACAAAGAGCTATGTACCTACTGCAATAAGTGAAATCGCATTGTAGACCTGTGGGTGACACAGTTTAGAAACCTTCCCCAAGGAGAAGCATCTGATAACCAGAAGTACAATGACCAAGAACAAAAGAAGAGACAAAGGCACAGTGAATATTACTGAAGACTCCCCTGCAAAGGAGCAAAACCCTTTGCCAACCTCAGAGTTCACTGAAGAAGACATCGAGAAAATGGGGGATATAGAATTCAAAACACTTGTTATAAAACTTCTTATCAACAATGAGAAGCATATAAAGCAGTCATTCAACGAATTCAAGGAATAAGTCACACTGGAAATGAATGAAATGGAAGCTGACATATCAGAAATGAAGAATACAGAGGAGCAAATTAAAAGTACAGTGGGGAGTCTCCAAAATAGAATGAAGGAGGCAGAAGAAAAAATCTCAGGATTAGAAGATATTTCCTGTCACTAAGGGGAAACAAATAAAAAGCTGGAAGCAGAGTTGGATCAGGCCAAAAAAAGTATTCAAAAATTGAAAAACACCATTAAGAGGCCAAATCTAAGTGTTATGGATGTCCCAGAAGGTGCAGAAAGAGAAGCCAAGTTTGCAAATGTATTTAATGAAATAATAAGAGAAAATTTCCCTACTCTAGAGAAAAAAATGGGAAACAACATCCAGGAAGGGCACAGAACTCCCAACAGGCTTGATCAAAAGTGGTCTTCACCAAGACACGTGATACTCAAGCTCTCTTCAATCGAACATAAGGAAAAGATCCTTAAATGTGCACATGAAAAAAATCAACTGACATATAAAGGAATGCCAGTTAAACTCACAGGCGATCTCTCACAGGAAGCTCTATAGGCAAGAAGAGAATGGAGTAACATATTCCAGATTCTAAAAGAAAAAATTGTCGGCCTAGGATAATGTACCCAGCAAAGCTTTTCTTTGTCTTTGAAAATGAAATAAAATTCTTCCACAGTAAAGAAAAGTTAAAAGAATATGTCTCTTCTGAACCTGCCCTACAAATGATACTTCAAGATGTTCTCTTGACAGAGAAAAGGAATAGCGACCACCAAAACCAAAGACAAATGTGAAGAACATCCCAGTAAAATAACAACAGAAGACTAAATCAACGAACAACCCATTCCTAAAATGACAGAACCAAATTACCACCCATTCATATTAACCCTGAATGTAAACAGCTTAAACTGGTCAATGAAACGTCGTGGATTAGTAGACTGGATTAAAAACCAAAACCCATCTATTTGTTGCCTACAGGAGACATATCTCACCAACAAAGATCAATGGAAACTGTATCTCATGGGTTTTGATTTATTTTGGTTAGTTTCATTGCTTCAGAACACTTTCTCTTGATTAAATTCTTCAATGACTCAGATGTCGTACAGTAGCATCATTTTCTTCAAGAAGGTTCTTGATTTTCTTTTTCACTTCTTCAGTGACAAATTAGTCATTCAGTAGCATGTTATTTAACTTCATGATGTTAATTTCTCTCTTTTTTTTTTTTACTCTGTTTTGTGGCTTTTCATTTAAAGGGTTGTATAGTAACTCTTTAATGGAGACTATCATATCTAGTAGCATGTTTTTTAAATTCGTGGCATTGCAAATTTGTACATTTCTTCCTGCTCTTGATTTTGTATTGTGGCTTTTCATTTAAGGAGATGTATAGTAACTGTTTAATGGAGACTCTCATGTCCAGATGTGAGGATACAACGCAGTATGCATCTCTACTTCCAGATGACTCCCAATGAAACTGTTTACTGTATCTTGACAATAGGATGCTGGACTCTCTGCCATTGTTCATGCCCACATTGATGAACATATGATTGTGTATGAAGAGCTATTCTGTAATAATTGTATAGGGGAACTCAATGAGGTGGAGGAGGGAATCAGGGGAGGGGATAAGGGAAATCCCAGGGCCTATGTAATTGTATCATAAAATGATAATATTAAAAAGAAGTAAAATTAAAAAAAAAAATCTGACTTGTATTAAATAATTCCTTTACATGAATGCCTTTTTTTGGTGTTCCATTTCAAGTTTCAAGTATTTATAAGTATAAATATGTTTGTATTCAAGTATTTATTTATTGCAAAATAAAAAACTATCTCTGTTTCTTTCAGGCATAGTATTGCTATTATTAAAAAGTTTTTCTACTCTTTTTCCCTTCCTGTTAGGGATGTTTCAAAGCCGGAAAGATATAGTGGAGACAACATAATCTACAAACCACCAGGGGTAAGTTGCTATTTCTTAATGTATATCTGATGTAATTTAAATACCTGCACAGTATAATTGCATATGTGTTAATGTCCAAAAAAATTTAGAATTTAAGTAGAACATGCCTTGATATATCATCTTGTGCTAATCCAAATTTTCCAAGTAAAGATAGATCTGCAGAGGCTTGAAGTCTCATATGCAGTAAGTTGTAAAGATGTGGTTAGGAATTCCCTCACCAATATGCCTTTTTTAAAAAAAGCATTTACCATTGGCTCTCTTGTTTTTTAATTTTGTTTTAAATTTTATTTATTTGAAGCTTTGCGTGAGTGACAGAGGAAGATTTCTTACTTGGAGGTTCACAGTCTGGATGGCTGCAGCAGCCAAGATTGGGCAAGGCTGGTAACAGTCCAGGTCTCCAACATGGGCGGCAGCTACTTGAGTCATTAACTGCTGCTATATCCCACCATCTGTATTAGCTGAAAACTGGGGTTAGGAATGGAGCCAGGTCTCAAACCCAAAAACTCTGATATGGGGTTTGGGTTTTCTTACGAGCGTCTTCACTATTGTGCAAAATATCTTTCTTTCTTTTCTTTTTTTTTTTTTTGTCTTTTCTAGCCTTTGCTTTGAATTTACTCTGGAAGTCAATATTTAGCACTATTGGGGTAAATAGAGATCTTTTATTTGCTGGTTCATTTGCTGGACCAGGCTGAAGCTAGGAGCCAGGAATTCTGACAGGTTTCTCTCATTGGTGGCAAGGCCCCAAAGACTTGAGCCATTATTGCTGCATCCCACGATGTGCAATAGGAGGAAGTTGGGTTTGAAGCAAAGGCAGGGCTGCATTCTCAGCACTCCAGTTGGGATGTAGCTTTGCCAAATAGCAGCTTAACCCACCATATTCCTAGGAGTTAATGAATTTAGAGTTTGCTTATTTGAGAAACTGAAATTTTGTCTCTGCTGGTTCACTCCTTAAATGCCTGCAATACCCAGGCTGGGGCTAATGCAGAAGCTTGGAACTCAGTCTGAGTGTTTCTAATGAGTGTCTGGGAATCATCAATTGCTACTTCTCAGAATACATTAGGAACCTAGTCTTGGCATCATAATTGGCGCCAGAACCCAGGTACTCTGTAATAAGAGGTGATTTTCCTGGTAGGGTCTTATTCCCCCACCCCCTTCATTTTATTTTTTTCTTTTTATAAAATTACTTATGTAAAGGGACCAAACTTCATCTATTTTTTATATACAGTTTTGAGAACATAGTATGTCTTACCCTATTGTCCTTGCCCCAAGGTTCCTACTGAATTTCCACTTTTCTTTCTCATTTTTCTTCTAATGTTTTCAGTGACATAATTTACTTTGGCACAGATTTAACTTTCCACTAAATAAAGAACTCAACTGGTAAGTTGAAAAGAGCCTGTTGTTCCTTAGGAGTATAGATAAGGGCTAAACAATAATCAAATCTCAAAATGTCAGTTTCATAAAAATTATTTTTTTTTGCACTCTACATATTAGTTATCACAAACCAGAAAAGCATATTCATCTTCTGGGAACTGGTTTAATTCACTGAGGACAATATTCTCTAGTTGCATCCATTTTGTTGCAAAAGACAGGATTTCATTATTTTTTATTACCATGTAGGAGGTAGGATTCTTTAATATATATACCACAATTTCTTTATCCCGTATCTGTTGATGGATATCAGACTTGATTCTATATATTAGCTATTGTAAATTGAGCTGATATACACATGAGAATGTAGATATAAATCTTTTATATGCTGATCTCATTTTTTCTAGGTAAATTCCCAGAAATGGTATAGGTGGGTCATATGGTAGATGTTTTTTTTTTTTTTCAGATTTGTGAGGAATCTCCATACTCCGTTTCAGATGTTGGTTCTGTCAGTTTGCATGTCTATCAGTAGCATACTAGGCTATTGTTTTCCCCACATCCTCACCAGCATTTGTTATTTTCTGAGTTTTGGATAATAGGCATACAGGCTGGGTGAGGTGAAAACTCTGTGATTATTTATCTTTCCCTGTTGGCTTCATTAAATGTCTTTTCATGTGTCTGTTGGCCATATGTATTTTATCCTTTGAAAAATGCCTGTCTTAACTGCTGTGCCAAACTCACACCTCCTGAGAGCTAACTGCAAGAGACACTTCAATGATTTGTGGTCATCACTCGTGGATATATCATAAAGCTAAGGTCCTAAATGGTATAAATTCACCTAATAGTTGCCAGAAAATGAGTAGCAACAGGGTTATTTTTGGTCCTTGAGCGAAGAAACTTTAAGTGTCTAAATGTGAAACCATTTAGGACCAGATAATTATAGCCACAATGAAGAGGCAGAAGTCATGGTATGTGTTATCATAGACCAGCCTAGGCCAGTCATTGCAATTTTATACAGACAGAGAATAAGATATCTATGGATATTTGTTCAGGATGTTGACATTTTGACATTAGAAGGTTTAATCTTTTGTAATCAGAGAAGTGATTTTTTTCCTTTGAAGTTCCATTTCCTATTTGAAATCAGTTTACTGAATCATTTTCTATTTCTACAACAAATAGCTGAGGATATGTAGTTTGTAAAGAAAAGAGGTTTATTTGGCTCAATGTTTTAGAAGCTGAAATTCAAGATTTTGTGGCTTCATGTGTTTTGCCTCTGATGTGTTTCCTTGGACTGCATCAGTACTTGGCAGAGGAATAGAAATGGTGAAACTGGAAAGTGGAAATCAACAGGAGGTTAGTCATGCCATTACATGACAGTTTACTTTCACAAGAAGTACCCAGGACCCTCAGGAGATGTATGAATGCCTTCTCAGGAGAGCACCTACAATCGTCTAATCATGCCCAACTAGGCCCCCACCTCTTAGAGGTGACATACCTTACACAACCTGCTACGAAATGTGGTTCTACCGTAAGGACCCCAGGAGAGCGATTTAAACCATATTTAAACCCTAGCTTCTGTTTTTTGGAAATGCATTGCTTTACTACTAATTTGTACATATAGTGCCATTATTGGATTATCAGAATCCAATACAGTTTTTCCCATTGTACCGAGCTAGTTAGGAGTATATAGAGTGTGGTATTGTGTCTGGGTTTGAAAGCTACATCACCCACACTCTAGATATATTCCTGTGGAGAAGTTTCTTAGCTTCTCCATTTACTCCCCACATAGACACACTGACTTGCAGTGGTTCATACTGAAGCCAACAGCCTCATCCCCATCTCCCGCAGGGGTAGCAGGGCCCAAGTACTTCAGCCATCTTCTGCTGCTCTTCCCAGGCCATTAGTAGAGCAGTACATCAGAAGTGAGACAGCGAGGACATGAACTGTTGCCAATACGGAGTGCAGTTGCTGTAAATTGCTTGTCATGATCTACTGGGCCACGGTGCTCAACCCCAGAAATATCAACTTTTTACCAACTACAATGCTGTCCTCAAGCTTTCCATTTGTTATGTTTATTTTCTGTCTCCTGTAGATTTTTTGGGTTCATAAATGAATTTAAGGATGTGTCTTTCTCCCTATTTTTCTAACAGCATTCAGCTCCAGATATGGTGTATTTGGGATCTATGACAAATTTTGACGTGACTTACAATTGGATTCAAGATAAATGTGTTCCTCTTGTCCGAGAAATAACTTTTGAAAATGGAGAGGTATGGACTCTGTGATATGTGTTGTTTTAAATATAGGTGTATGGAAGGGTGAGCTTATTCTGCCTGTCTTACTGTTTTAATACAAGACTCATTCCTCATCAGTCATCTGGTGGACTCTGTTGAAGCTGTTTCATAATGCAGAACAGTGATTCTGCTGTCCCAGAGCCCTCTTAACATGCCCGGCCAGCGGTGGTTCACTACATTCTTGCAAATGAGTGTGAAAATGCCTCTCAAAACCCGCTTTCTGAAATGCACCTGTTATATGAGGGTCCCTATTTAAGTGGATGCTGCTTAAGAGCAGTGCTTTGCAGATTTTAGTTGCATTGCTTAGAGTGAGTAATCCTTTACTACTAAGAGGTTTTTCTGATTCCTGTCTATCCTGCAGAAAAAAGGTTTCTGTTGATTGTGACTTACTCTACCTTTAAAAATTTGTTATTAGATAATATTAATATTAAATTATTAAATAATTTTTGAATTATTATTATTATCATAGCAGCCCCAAAATAATGAGTGGTGGATAATTTTTTTCCTTTTAAGGACCAAACAAAAAATAATCTTGGTGTTATATTCACACAATAATCTGTGTTCCAACTACACAAATTTGTTATTGTAACATAAAAGCAGCTTTTATACAGTACACAACCAAGGTAATACAGATATGTTCAAATAACACTTTTTTATTGCATTGCTTTTTGATAAAATTTTTCACATAGCATAAAATATTTTAAAAGTTATTTTTGAGTCATTCAAAAATGCAAAGGATATTAGGTTTGACACGTGGCTATAATTTATTGATCCTCAAGCTAGGTCAAGAAATAGAGTATTTCCAGAGATTCTGTTCGCTTTTGAATCACTAGTCATTAACCATCTCCATACTGCAGTAGTTTTGAATAGGACTGTCCTGAGTTTTGCCTACTTAACCCAAAATGGAGTCAGTCTTTTACATCTGGCTTCTTTCAGTTTTATCTTTGTGGGGTTCATTTGTATTATGTGAAGCTTCAGTATATTTATTTCCACGCTGAATATAAATCTGCTATGTCAGTATACCCTAGCTTTATCTCTAATACTGTTCATACATTTAGACTGCTTCTGAGTTTTGACGATTGAAAATATTCTGCTAGAAGCATTCTTTTTTTAAAAAAAAAATGTGTTTTATTATTCCATGGCACAGTTCCATAGGCTCTGGGCTCTGGGATTTCCCTTCCCTGTACCCCAAATCCCCTTCACTCCTACCTCCCCACTTACTTTTCTCATGTTATTGCAATAGTATAGTCCTTCACAGTCAGTCATAAGACCATCATTTATCCTGACATCTGGTCCTGAACAGTGGCAGAGAGTCTAGAAACCTATTGTCAAGATACATTTGGGCCTGGTGCCAACTGCGTAGCAGTTAAAGTCCTCGCCTTGAGCGTGCTGGGATCTTGTATGGGTGCCGGTCGTGTCCCAGCAACCCTGCTTCCCATCCAGCTCCCTGCCTGTAGCCTGGGAATGCAGTTGAGGATAGGCCAAAGCTTTGGGATCCTGCACCCGCGTGGGAGACCCAGAAGGGGCCCCTGGCTCCTGGCTTTGGATTGGCCAGCTCCAGCTGTTGCGGCCACTTGGGGAGTGAGCCATTAGAATGAAGATCTTCCTCTCTGTTTCTCCTCCTCTGTGTATATCTGCCTTTCCAATAAAAATAAATAAATCTTAAAAAAAAAAAGATACATTCAACAGTTTCATTGAATTCGTCAGTCTCTGATTTGTAAGTAGAGATGCATATCTATATGTGATAGTCTCTACTACACAGTTACTATGCATGCCTTTAAACAAAAAACATAAAACAAAATCAACAACAGGAAGAAAACAGAGCATTTACAATAACATGAAATTAATTAACATGCTACTGAATGATCAATGTGTCACTGAAGAAATGAAAAAGAAAAAGACTTTTCTGAAGCAAATGATATTATTGTATGACTTAAGAGTCATTGAGGAAATTAATAAGAAAAATCAAAACTTTTTTAAATGAATCAAATCCTCCTAGATATAAGCAAAACAATATTGAAAGGGTTATCACTCTCATATTTTCCATGAAGGTTGCCTTAAATCAAGAGGAAATATAATATTTGTCCTTTTAGGGTTGACTTATTTCACTGAAGATAATGGTTTCTAGTTGAGACCATTTAGGTGTAAATGGCAGAAGTTCATTCTTTTGAATGACAAAGTAGTATTCCATAGAGTAGATGTACCACAGCTTAATCTACTAGTGTTTGAACGGGCATCTGGGTTGTTTCCATGTCTTTGCTGTTTTAGACTGTGCTACTATAAACATAGGATTATGGATCCCTTTCTCTTATGCAGATTTCATTTTCTTTGGATATCTTCCCAGAAGTGGGATAGCTGAGTCAGAATGCAGGTCAGTTTTCAGTTCTCTTAGCACTCTCTATACTGATTTCCATAGTGGTTGTACCAGCCTACACTCCCACCAATGGTGAAGGAAGGTACCTTTCTCCTCACATCCATGCCAGCAGGTGGTGTTAGTGGGGTTCTGAATGTAGACCAACATCTCACTGGGGTTAGGTGGAACCTCAATGTGGTTTTCATTTGTATTTCCCTGATAGCTAGGGAACCTGAGCATTTTTTCATGTCTGTTGACAATTTGAATTAGTTCTTTTGAAAAATGTCTATTCATTTGCTTCACCCATTTATTCACAGGGTTGTTTTGTCATTGAGTTTCTGAAGCTCATTGTCAGTTTTGGCTATTACTTCCCTATTGGTTGTATAGTAATGCAAAGATTTTTTTTTCCTGTTATGTTGATTGCTTCTTTGCTTTGTTGATCATTTCCTTTGCAGTACACAAGTTTTTTAGTTTGATGTAGTCCCATTTGTTTGTTTTTTGGCTTTGACTGCCTGTGCTTTAATGACTTTTCTAAGAAGTCTTTACAAATGCCTATGTCTTGTAGAGTGCTTCCTAAGTTTTCTTCTAATAGTTTGATGGTTTTTGGTGCAGACTTAGGTGATTGCTGCATTTAGAGCTGACTTTTGTCAAAGGTGACAGGTGCGGGTCTTGCTTCTTACTACTTCAGGCTGCTATCCATTGTCCCAACAGCATTTGTTGAAGAGACCAGACTTTCCCCCTAAATTATTTTCTGTTCTCTTGTCAACAGTTAATTGGCTGTACATATTTGGGCTTTCTATTCTGTTCCATTGATCCCTTCTTTTTTTGTACCAGAATTAGGTGGTTCTGATGACCCGGTAGTATGTCTTGAGGTCTAGAATTGTGATTCCTCCAGCTTGATTTTTATTCTTCTGGATAGCTTTGACTATTCGTCGTCTGTTGTGTTTCCAGATGAACTTTTGCATTGCCTGCACAGCCTTTCTTCCACTCCTGACTCCAACAATGCCCAGTGTTAGGGAGACACCAACTGTCCTAAATCAGTAGGTGCTGATCTTGCCAGAACTTGCTGGCCTTTACATCTGAAGGCCCCTCATCCTGTTTTGTTAGGAACTGCTAGGGTGCCAAGTCTGCACTGATTTCCCTGTGAGACCAATGCAATAAGCTGAGCCAGAATTGACTTAGCTCCTGACTTAGTACATGCACAGCTACTATTGTCCCTCTGGCCTTTCAGCCTTGCCGAAGTGTACAAAATGACGCCTGATGTAGCACTGGTGATATTCTGGGTCTGCCGGCCATTTGGTCTGGGGGCCACCTGGGTCTATTTTGGTAGGAATTTGTAGGATGTCAAGTGAGTACAGATTTCCCTGTAGGACCAATGCAATGCATTGAGCCAGACTTGATTTTGCTCCTGGCTTAGTGCATGTGCAGCTTGCCTTTGTCTTTCTGGTCCTCTTAGCCTTTGCCACAGTGCAGGCGTAGAACATGCGCAGCTCACTGTAGCCTTTGCTTGCACCTGATGTGGCGCTGGTGGGGGTTGGGCTGGGAGATCTACCCTTTTCCTGCATTGCTACTTGGGGTCTGCTGCCCCGTTGTGCATGTGGTCAGATCAAACAAATCAATGAGATGGGCAGTTCTTTGCTTGGGTTCACCTCCTGAGCTTCCAGTGAACTCCCCTTCCCACCAGGTTGTCAGTAGAGCTCAGATCACAGATTGCTTATAGCTAACCGCCACTGGGGTATCTGGGCACTACAGCACTACCACATTGTCTCTGCTGCTTCCCCATGTTTGTTGAAATTCACATGCCCCACTGCCATCGGCCTGTCCTCTCCATTTTCTGAAATCTGTCCTCTCTGCTTTACCCTAATTCTTCTCTGAAATTTTAAACCTGTCCTACTCTATTCTGCCATCTTGCTAACTTTCTCTCTCTCTCTCTCTCATTTATATTTATTGGAAAGAGATTTACAGAGAGCAAGAGAAATCTTTCAACTGTTGGATCACCCTGGCTGCAATGGCCAGCTGAGTGATCCAAACCCAGAAGGAGCTTCTTCTAGGTCTTCAAAGTGGGTAGAGGGTCCCAAGGCTATGGGCCATCCTCTGTTTCTCTCCCAGGCCATAAGCATGCGGCTGGATGAGAAGTGGAGCAACTGGTACTCAAACCAATACCCTTCTGGGATCCCCATGGTTGCAAGAGGGAGATTAGTGAAGTAAGCCATTTCATGTGAACATTTCTATTGGATAGGTAGTTTGATGAGCAGAATTGATGTCATTGGGCATACTTAAAATTCATCTTTAGATGATACCAGTTTCCCAAAGTGGTTGTAACATTTTACATTCTCAGTTCCCATTGTTCCACATTTTAGGGCATTTGATGTAGTCAGTCATTAATTTTTTTTTGTACTTGTATAGTAAATTATCATGATTTTAAAGTTACGTTTTCCTAATGACCAATTAGGTTGAGCACTGTCTGTTGCCTCTTTTGAAATGGCAGATGGACAGAGGGGAAATGCAAGTTCAAATGCCATATTTCATGTTCTGAGTTTCCTTGGGTTTTATTCTTGGTCTATGTGTCTTTCTAGTGTTTAAACCTTTAGACACCTCACAGAAGTGGGTTTTTTTTTTTTTTTAGATTTATTTATTTTTATTACAAAGTCAGATATACAGAGAGGAGGAGAGATAGAGAGGAAGATCTTCCGTCCCATGATTCACTCCCCAAGTGAGCACAATGGCCAGTGCTGTGCCGATTCAGAGCCAGAAGCCAGGAGACAGGAACCTTCTCCAGGTCTCCCACGCGGGTGCAGGGTCCCAAAGCGTTGGCCATCCTTGACTGCCTTCCCAGGCCACAAGCTGGGAGCTGGATGGAAAGTGGAGCAGCTGGGATTAGAACCGGCACCCATATGAAGTCCCGGCACATTCAAGGCGAGGACTTTAGGCTCTAGGCCACGCCGCCGGGCCCCCAGAAGTATTTTTAAAACATATCTCCAGGGGCCCAGCATGGTAGGTAGCCTGGTGGCTAACATCCTTGCCTTGTATATGCCAGGATGCCTTATGGGTAACTGGTTCATTGCCTGGCTGCTCCACTTGGCTTCCAGCGTCCTGCTTCTGGCCTGGAAATGCGGTAGAGGATGGCCCAAGGCCTTGGGACCATGTACCCATGTGGGAGGTGAACCAGCAGATGGAAGATCAGATTCCTCTCTGTCTCTCCTCTCTGTAAATCTGATTTTCAACAAAGTAAATAAATCCTTTTTTAAAAATTCCAGATTTTCTAATTTTCTTATTAGTAAGATAGATATATATTATATCCGCCGTTACTCCAGAATCCAAATCTTAGTCTTAGCACTGTAGCTTAACCTAATTCTCTGAAATTCGATCTTCTGTTAACATGTTGGATAGTAATAAACATTTTAAGCTATGGGGATAATAAATATAGACTCTTCAAGATCCCCTGATACCCTCTCAGCATCATTCCAGAGGCTTCCAGCTTTTGGGTTTTAGTTTATCTTTCCCCTTATGCTAGACAGAGGGCAATTTTTAACTTTCACTACTGGCTGTATTTTTAAATGAAACTTTTAATTGGTGAATTTATACGTTATTAGCAATTGTATATCCTAAGTGAAGATTGATTTATTGAGGGTAATATATTTTAATGGATTATTTTCTGTAATAAAATTAGTAGTCAATGAAAGTAGTTTAAGATTTTTTAGTGTTGTTATGAGACGCTCCCTGACTTCCTGGGAGTCTCAGCTTCGTGTTTGTTCGTGTGCTAGTCAGCTTCCCATCATTATAACAAGCACCTTAGAGAAACTGCTTTCAAGGGAAGGTTGATTTCAGCTCACAGTTTTGGAGGGTCACATGGCCCGTAGCTCTGGCAGCTGATGAGAGTATTGTATGGTGGAATGCTGAGCCCAGAGGAGGTATCACACAGAGAGCCAGGAAGCCAAAAGAGACCAGCTAGGAACTGGGCATTTATAACCAGCTTATTCATAAGAGCTACCTGGTTTTTAAAAGATTTTATTATTTTTATTACAAAGTCAGATATACAGAGAGGAGGAGAGACAGAGAGGAAGATCTGTCCAATGATTTACTCTCCACATGATGGCAAAGGCAGGTGCTGTGCTGATCCAAAGCCAAGAGCCAGGAACTTCCTCCAGGTCTCCCACATGACTGCAGAGTCCCAAGGCGCTGGGCTGTCCTTGACTGCTTTCCCAGGCCACAAGCAGGAAGCTGGATGGGAAGTGGACCTGAACCGGTGCCCATATAGGATCCAGGTGCATGCAAAGCAAAGACTTTGGCCACTAGGCTACAATGCTGGGCCCAGAGCAGTGATATCTTTTTTTTTTTTTGAAAACTTCTTTTTTTCATTTCTTATTTTTTTTTTTTTACATTGCATCATGAAACACAGTTTTACAGGCACTGGGATTCCCCCCTCCCCTCCCCAAAACCCACAATCCCTCTTCCCCCCCCCCCCCCCCCGGTGGATTCTTCCATCTTGTTGCATTACCACAGATCAAATTCAGTTGAGATTTTTTTTCCTTGCAAGCATCTACAAAGCATAGAGTCCAGTATCTTACTGTGCAGATAAGTTCAACAGTTTCATGGGGAGACAGTCTCTGGTCTGAAGAGACCAAAGAGAAAGAGAATCATCCCAATCAATTGAAAGCCCCAACATTACAACAGTAACAATTTATAACGTAATGGAGTTAGTTGACATGATATTGTGTAACCAGCATGTTCAAAGAGAGAGAGAGAAAACAACAACAACAACAAAAAGAGTACAAGTTCTGAACCACATCCTATGACTTCTACATTGACATTACAATTATTAGTTTATATACAGCTGGGTTCTATACACCTTAAAATGGCTATAGATTACTATTCAGCTGTCTCATGTCTATTTTAATTTTAGTATTTAGCAGTTCATAGTGTTGAAGCATGATTTTGCAGAACCTGGCTGTTTTTTGGGCAGTCTAGCTCTATAACTGTAACAAGACATATGTCAACAGTTTAGGTGAACGGTTTTAGGAGGGGTGTGCAGAGAAATCCTCAATACCCTAGTGAGGAGCAACCAATCTTCGTGTCCCACCCAGTGAATTATAAGTGCATCCCCACTGCCCATTTCCTGTTTCTAAGCTTTCCTTGCTGTTCTCCATCTATTCTAGGTTTTTTTTGTTTATTTGTTTATTTGTTCGTTTGTTTTGAGAGGTTTCTGGAGCAATCCTGATGGTCATTATGAGAGAGAGTGGGGACCCAAAGTTAGAACCAGGCAAGAACCAGAGAAAGCTCCTCTCCCTAGTCCCGAAGGAAGTTTACTCTTTTGTTTCTGCGGACTGCTCAGTGCTCCTGGTTGTCGTTCCGATGACCTTGGATCCTGCAAGGAGGGATATGGGCTTCTTCCATCCCATGTGTGAGACCCAAATGGAAATGGGTGACCTCAGAGTTCTTGGCCTCCGAAGGCACTCCAATTCCCCGTGGTCTTCTTGGTGGTTGGGATGTAGTCCTCGGAGCTCGTACTGATAGTCCTTGGTGAGGATCTAGGAGTCTTCAGAGTTGGGATACAAGCTTCCTCCTGTCTGCCTGCTCCACTCTGGGGTCCCCCCCTGCCAGAGCAGTGATATCTTAAAAGCAATCTTTTTTTTCCTCCAGATTAGTAGTTCTCAGTGGTGAACTGTTAAAAACAAATGTGCTGTCATTAGATCTTGTTATGTTTATAGATCACTGGCAGAATAGGCTCTGTATAATTCTTAATCATTCTGAGATTTTGGGAATGATAAATGAATATTGCCTTGAACTTCCAATTAGCAGTTGCATTGACGCCTAAGGACAGTCATCTCATTCTTAGACACTGACTCCTACTCTGAGTGTCAGTCCTAGATGGCTGCTGCTTTCAATGGAAGGCTATTTTGTGTACATTGAAAATCTGTTATTTAATGTAAGCACATTTGCCGATTTCTGTGTAACTTGTTGCAGCTTCTATATCTGTTCTTGCTGCTTTGCTTCGCACTTTTATGTTGTAGAGAAGTAATCTTTTCTTCTTAAACCTCATGAACCAGCCTCTACTAGCTTTAAACTTTTCCTCAGCGTCACCATTTTTCTTAGTCTTCATGAAATTGAGGAGAGTTGGAGCCTTAGATATGGCTAATGTGACTTACTCAGCGTGCTGAAATTTTGTCAGCATCAGAAATAATGCTGTTTCGCTTTATTATTGTATGTTCATTGGAGTAACACTTTTAATACCCTTGAAGAACTTTTCATTTGCATTCACAGCTTGACCCGAGTCCCACTTTGTCTGTTTTGGGTTTCAGCCTGTCTTCACCACTAAACTTAATCATATCTAGCTTTTATTTTTAAAATAATAGTTAGACTTTCACATCTGAAACTGAAAGGCCATTGTAAGGGTATTTTTTGGCTTAATTTCTGTACTCTTGTGTTTTAGGGGATAGGAAAACCAAAGGATAGTTTATTGGTTGAATACACCTTAGAAGAGCCAGGAGTTTCTGATCAGATTTACTGCCCCTGCCTTCAATTTTTCATTGTTATCTGTGAAGACTAAAAATACTAATCAACTTTATGCTCTCCTAACATTACTAACAGCTTGATAAAGAACCGTGGTAATTTTTTTCTGCTTAACTCCAAATGTCCTTCTCTCAGCTTACTGTCCCCCGAAACCTCATATGTAGTTGTAACCAGTCTAGCCTGTTTGTTCCTTTAATGTAAATCAGTTTTCCGCAGAGCAGAGATTCTGGGTCTTCTGAGTGCTGGTGCATTTGGGTGGGGAGGAAAGTGAATAAATGAATGAATGGTTGATGTTGATCGGTACTAAAAGACCTACCCCCCCCCACCGTGATTTTATTACTATTGTGTTACATGACGTGGGTTCCAGACTATTCCTAGCTAGAAACTAGCTGGAACTGAATGGAGAGACCTGATCATTCTCACTGACTGCTTTTGTCTACAGGAATTGACAGAAGAAGGACTGCCTTTTCTTATACTCTTCCATATGAAAGATGACACAGAAAGCTTAGAAATATTCCAGAATGAAGTAGCCCGGCAGTTGATAAGTGAAAAAGGTAGACAGCTTAAGGTGTTTATTTGCATTCTTGTTTTTCTCTCTCTTTCCCTCTCTCCCCTGCCCATTTTTTGTGGTATATTTATATTCACATAAACATATTGAGGTTAAAACTTGTGTTTGTATTCAGATGTGATCGGGAGGCATTAGTAAAGAGACAATATTGTTTTGCTAATTCGTGTTTTCGAAATCAAATAACAAAGCAAGCAGGTCCATAGTTATATAACATTTGTTTTGGGCACTACTTTTTAGCATCTTGCTTTTTGTCAGATCCCCCTTCTAAGAAACATTTCCAGAGATATTGCTGAGAGAGCTTATTGTGTTAAGTAATTAACTTATTTCTAAATTGAAGAAACTTGAATAGTTGTGTGGATTTCTGCAGAATATCAAGATGGAAATTGAAGTGTCACAAGCCAGAATGTGAACAAAAATTTTAAAGGCATTTTATACAGATGCCTCTTTAATAGTAGTTTGTAAAATTTTGGAGGTTAGATTGTGTTAAGTTAACCACAGTGGGATGGACCGGCAAGAATGAAACGGTCCAGCTCGTATGTCAGTTTGAGTAACTTGGTCCCTTGGAGCCTGAGTAATGTACAGAACCAACAATTGCCCACTTCAAGAAAATAGATTACCGTTATGTTCCAGTTTGGACTGAGTTCATATAACTTCTAAAGAAATTAAACTCCCTTGGCTTAAGAGCGAAAACCCTACCTCTTTTAATGTTACACATAATAATATTAAAGTTTGTTTTTGACATGTATCACTCAAGAATATTGGGAATTATTTTTAAGCATGTCCTTTCTTGTGAGCTCATAATCTTATGAGAATGCGTAAATTCTAACCTACATCTCAAAATTGTTTCTTTTAAAGGTACAATAAACTTCTTACATGCAGATTGTGACAAATTTAGACATCCTCTTCTACATATACAGAAAACCCCAGCGGACTGCCCTGTGATCGCTATTGACAGCTTCAGGCACATGTATGTGTTTGGAGACTTCAAGGATGTGTTGTAAGTATTCCTTTTGTGTTTAAAATTACTGGTATGTTCTCAAAAGTGAACATTAAGCAACTGACAATTTTAAATAAACTTACACGTAAGAGTAGTACAAAGTTTAATGGAAGCTATTGGATATTTTTTCACTAAAGGATGTGGTGTGACTGAAATTGGTGATTAATGCTTGGGTCATGGTGGGTTAATGATTGACAATTAACTTCTGAAAGAAAATTTATGTCTTACCAGAAATTACCTCTGAATTTAACTTTGTCTTTGCCAGCACATCGAAGAGAATAAATGTTACTCCTAGATTAGGTTAAAGGGAATTGATAATGTTGCTGTTCATTTGTGACTACATCTAGCTGAGAATGGTAATATGTACATGACCCAGAATTTTGCTATTAGTAGGCATTTCTAATGGAATACAACTGTGAGCCTTTCCAAGAATAGGTAAGCCTTCTGACTCTATTCTTAGGAACTTACTGTGTTAATAAAAATATAAATATTGTAACTGCTGTAGCCCGTGAGCTGACCACTTGACCAAGTGAAATTAACTCATCGGCTGGCAGCATTCTACTTATGACTGAATTGTTAAAATTCTCTAAAGAAATCTGGAATTGGGAAATCATCCTCCTCCATCTTTCCAGTTTTCAGTTCTGTAAGTAGGGAAGAAGCTAAGTGATTATATTTAAAGCTCTTTGAAACAAGCGACTCCTTCAGTTTCTCCCTTAGGTGCCTGATTTTCTTTTCTAGGCACAATTCCCTCTAGCATTCATAATTGTGTGTAGGTATCTGCTGTGTGAGTTAGATACAGCATCTATGTGAGTAGATGTTAATATTAAAAGTCTAATAAAACATGCAGCCTAGTCAATCTGCCACACTTAATGACTTGAATAATTGTTATTGTGCTACATAGTAATTAAGACTTAAATGATAAGCAATTTCCATAAATTACTGTAATTACGACTACATTTACTTTGTAGATCAGCATAACTGGGGTCATCAGTAGGAAGTATGATTTGGTGAAGTTAGAGAAAGCAGATTGATGGGGCACAGTCTCCTTCCATGTTTGGTCTACCTGTTCCTTGTCTCAGACAAACTGAAGTTAGGGAAGTAACATGAACCACAAGATCACACAGCCAAACAGTGGAAGAGCCAGGATTCGTAATGTGGTGTGTTAACCTCAAAATCCCAAGCTCATAACAGATTCTAACAGCATTTACATTTCTTTTAAATGTGAAAGTGTTAGTATATTTTTAGTAAATGTTTGATTTGCTTTTGGATTAATCTAATTATCACTGACTACTTTGAATACTTCTATCAACTCATCTGGAATTCTGTCACTTGCTCCTTGCCCTGTTGATGTATTCTTCTCCTGTTTGTATCTTTAGTTGTGATGCTCTGAAGATGTCTCACTTGTCAGCTCCTGGGGAATTAAATACACAGACACACACGTGTATATATGCATATATATTACATATATATTGGATGTGTATGATATATATATATATATATATATTTATCACATATGTATATATACTGGTCCAGGTCCATAAACGCCTATTGTTAAACTGATGTCCGTTGTTTAATTTTATGCTTTATAAAGTATTTCAGTATACCTTATTTGGCCCCTATGGCAATATGGACATCAAATGCTGATAGTTAGAAGTGTACCAGCATTTATTTATACATTATGTGTGTTCTCAAATTTTGTACAGCAAACTTATAGGATAGGCATTATGACCACTTTACAATAGAGAATTTATAGAAATTTAGTTACACTGCTAAAGTGTCAGTGACAGACAACATAGCATAGTGGTTAAAAGGGCAGACTGCAGATGCAGACAGCACTGCCTACCAACAGCATCATCCCTGAGCAAGTCACTGTAACTCTGCTGTGGCTTGGTTTCCTCAGATGAAAAGTGGGGATAGTAATCATTTCTACTTTACAAAGTTGTTGTGAACATTAGCAAATACATTTGTCTGCAGCTCTTAAGAGAGCAATGTCTCATTCATGATCATTGTACGGTTCTCTAGCATTAGCACAGGCAGTAACATACTCAGATTCAAGTCCAAGGCTGTCAGACTATGAAAACAATACAATGAAGTTAAATAAAGCAACCTGGCATAGTGGTGTATGGCAAATTATTCTCTGGCTGTGACATGAGCATCCTATATCAGTGCCAGTTCAAGTCCTACCTGCTCTACTTCTGATCCAGCATTCTGCCAGTATGAAGGAAGGCCCAAGTGCTTGGCCTCCAACCCCCATGGGGGCAACCCACAACAAGCCTCTGCCTCCTGGCTCCAGCGTGGCCCAGCCCTGTTTGTTACGGCCATTCGGGGAGTGAACCAGCGAATTCAAGATCTTCCCCCCCCCACCCTCTCTCTCTCTGTCTCAGTCTCTTCCCCCCCCCTCTCTAACTGCATTTCAAATTTTAAAAAAAAAAATTATTTTTAAAAAGTGGTTATTCTGGAGAGAAATAACTTTCTTCACAGATGTTATCTATATATCTTCACAGGCTATCTATATATGAATTATCATTTATAATAATTCTGAGGATGGGGACAAGAATTTCCAAAAAATAAATATTAAAAACAAAAAATGTGCTGGATCTATATGCAGAAAACCATAAAATAAATAAGGAAACCTACTTTGTTCAGTGTTTGGAAGACTCAACATAGTTGTCTATTTGTCTCTTAAGTTGACCTATATATTTAATACAATTCCAGTCCTAATCTCAGCTAGATTAATTGTGGATATAGACAAACTTATTCTAAAGTTTATATGGGAAGGTAAAAATAAAACAGCCATAAAGCTTTTGAGAAAGTTGGAGGATTTACAGTATTTGATTTTGGGTCATGGTACAAATCTAAAGTACTTAACGTCAGTGTGGTGTTGATGAAAGAGGAGGTACATAGTTCTGTGGAGCAGAATAGAAAGCCTGGAAGTAAACATACAGGTAAGGTCATTCAAACTAGAATGGCTCATCTTTTCAACAAATGATGGCTGAACCATGTAAGTGTCTTCACATCAAAAATGAATTTTCTTATAAAAGAACTTAGAATTGCTTATAGACATAAAGGTAAAAAAGTAGAAAACCCTTAGAACTAAACAGGAGGAATTCTTCATGAGCTGAGGTTAAAGTTCTCAAAGCATCTCAACACTCTCTTTTAAAAACAAAATCAAATTAAAGACTTATAAAAGATTATCAGAATGCAAAGAACATATACATGTGACAAATAAACACATAAGGATGATACTCAACCTCAATAGTCATTAGAGAAATTCAAGTTAAAGTTCCTGTGAGGGTAGGGCGCTTGGCCCAATGCTGAAGACACCTGCCTGGGCTCTTGGCTCCAGCTTTCTACTGATGCAGACCCTCGGAGGCAGCAGTGATGAGTAGTTGGAGTCCTGCCGCCCTCGAGGCTGACCTGCTTCCAGCCAGTGTGAGAGGCTGTGCAGTGAACCAGCAAACTGGAACTGCCTCTGTCTCTCTGCCTCTCAAATTAAAAGTAATTTGAGATTACAGCGTTTTAGTGCTTACAATTAAAGCACTGATAATCCAAGTGTTAATGAGGGTGTGGAACAAGTGGAATGCTCATGTATAGCTGGTGGGATTGCAGAATGACACAGCTACTTTAGAAAATAGCTGGACAGTTTCTTTAGAAAGCTGTATGACCCTGTTTTCATTCTGCAGAAATAAAGTTCCCACAAAAACTTATACCCCATGTTTGGAATAGCATTGTTTATAATCACTAAAATCTGGAGGGAACCCAGGAGTCTCCTTGAATAGATAAAAGCATAAACCAGTTGTTGTGTGAAGTACTTTAAGAAGTATGTAGAAAGTGGAATTTTCTATTTTTCATCAAGAAATTTAAATCTACTCATAAGAAGAGTTTTCCAAAAGTTCTTAAGAAATAAATGTTATGAAAAAAATAGATTTCAAAATTTTTTGCACCAAAATGTTTGCTTTTCTGCCAGATTTTTGAGGTACTGTTATATCCCCCTTAGTACAGTACTACTATTCAGTACACTTTGTACATGCAGCAGAATGGATGGATGTTAAGTGCAGTGTACTGAGGGGGGAGAGGCCTCATGGTTAGGTATTGTCTGATTGCATTATATGTGATACTATAGAAACAGTTGTTGGAGAAAAAGGAGTGTCTGAGTTAAAATGCATTTTGGAATTTATCTGACGTATTTGAGTGATAACAGAATAGAAGCACAGAACCCAGACCTCAAAACGTAGATCGTGTACATAAATTTTAAAAATCCGTACTTAGCATTTGTGTGTTTCATTGTTTCCCTTCTCCTACAAATGAATTGTGAACAAAAAACAAATGTTTGGAGGGTGGGAGAGAAAGTGCTAAGGGTGCATCTATATTCCTTTCTGGCAAATTATCATGTTTGATTTCCTGAAAATTTATTGTTGATTCACTGATTGTTACTTCTTAATAACGATGGGTATTTCTGGCCACATGCTGGCCACAGAGCTCGGTTGTAATCTGTTTTTCTACAATATCAATCAGTTTTATCCCATTGCCCTTGTATTTGCCATTTCCTCACAAGTCTCTTCTCATTTGTTGATAAATAACAACAAAAAAACAATATAAGCAAAAATCTGCTTTGGATATTCTGCATGAATTTTTCATATTTGGGATTTAATCATAAGTTATTCCTTGACCTTGCAGAAGCAATTCATTTCATTTGTTAGGATAATCTTTAGACCTTAGAAAACAAACCAACAGAGGCTTTATCTTAAACGTTATAGATTTGAGATCCTATGGATGAATGGATGGATTTTAGCACTTTGCTGTGAGTGACATACATGATGTCAGATTAAATTTAAATTGATCTCCTCTCAGTGTTTATCTCTGGTACATGTGCAATTACTTGAGCACCAGAGAACCTTCTGGGGGCATTCTGTCAATACAGCTACCTGACAGTCATTTGTATTTGTAAACTGTGCATTTGGCACCTGCTGCTCTCTGTTGCATTGGAGCTAGTGGGGAGCCAAAATGGGCACACAATGAAGTTATTGGTTGGTCTATCACAGTGGGAGTTATTGAAGGGAAGAAAACAGCACTTCTAGGACCTGAGGAGAGGATAAAAAAGAAATTGGTAACATTACACAAGCCCCCATACGCTGCTAACAAAAAATAGATAATGATTTTTAAAAATCAGTTCAACTCGAAGAGTTAAAGTATGGGGGGAGGATGTGCACCTACCGGCATTTAATTCTTAAAATAGGTATGAAAAACAAAGGGCTTCTATTTAAAATATGCAGTGAATTGTTTTAAATCTGAAGATCTCAGGAAAAGGCAGACAATTCACATAAGCAAAAATGTAAGTTGAAAGATGCACTGAAAAAAACAATTTCTGAAAAAAATGTAAATTTGAATGCAGATGACCTTTTATCAAATTAGCAAAATAAATTACAATTAAAACACAAATGTGCTGGCAAGACTTCAGAAAACACAGGTAGCCAGCTGATGTTTTATATGTTGTGGTTCATTCACACTTTCTTTAATAATTTACTTTTGAATGCAGCTCAAAGAAATAATTACACATGCACAAGCTGACACTCCAGTGTGGTTGCTTCCGCCACGGTACACGTCGGTGCTGTGAATCTGCTCATGTGTGACTTGCAGTCAGGGGAGTGATGGCCATGAACAGGGAGCTATGTTGATGCATACATCATTTCTTTTAGGGTGTCCTGAGCCATAGGAGGATACTTTTTCCTAATTTTGTAGAGTATGACTTGGGAATATGCACAACAGTACAAAAAATGACCAAAACAAAGAAAAGTACTATAGAAGCACCTTCCGTTAGTGGACATTGACGTTGGTTTAATGGCCTTGAGAGGTTTTTTGCACTTCTGTTGTGCTGTTCAGTGAAGCTGCAGCTGTGGACACTTTCTCTTGTGTTGAGGCTGCATTCATGACACTGGTTGTTGCTGGCAGTGATGCCCTGAGGGATCGCATCTCCAGAGGATGCAGAGCATCAGGTGGCAGATAGTGTGTGGTGCTGATTTTGTACAGTTACAGTTGCAGTTCCATGAGGTTAGCCCCTAACACTGCTGCTCCCTTGAGACCTCTTGTTTATAGTGTGGTTTTGCAGTACATGAGGGAGAGGAGAAAAAAAAGGAAAATCTATAAATGCACAGCATTAAAGGCTGGTTACGTTAAAAAAAAAAAATCATAAATTGGGGCCTGGCGCGGTGGCACAGTGGTTAAGGTTCTCGCCTTGCACGCCCAGGATCCCATATGGGCGCCGGTTCTATCCCGGCAGCCCCACTTCCCTTCCAGCTCCCTGCCTGTGGCCTGGGAAAGTAGTCGAGGACGGCCCAAAGCTTTGGGACCCTGCACCCGCGTGGGAGACCCGGAAGAGGCTCCTGGCTTCGGACTGGCATAGCATCGGCCCGTTGCGCTCACTTGGGGAGTGAATCATCGGGCGGAAGATCTTCCTCTCCTCCCCTCTGTATATCCACCTTTCCAATGAAAAAATAATAAAAATAAATCTTAAAAAAGAAAAATCATAAATCACAATGTATCTGTTGAAGTGATAGAAAATGTTTGGTGAAACGTGCCTAAGAATTAGAACACAGAACTGAGAACATAGATGCCATGATTACAATCATGTGGAGATGTTTGATCTGTATTTTACTGTAAACTTTACAGTAGGATGGGATTGTAGGTAAAATGTAAGTTTTTTTTTAATATTGCGAAGTTGTTAAAAGCGGTTAGTCCATTTCTACAATGTAAGCTAAATTTTTATTTGACTGTTTTTTAGAATTCCCGGAAAACTCAAGCAGTTTGTGTTTGACTTACATTCTGGAAAACTACACAGAGAATTCCATCATGGACCCGATCCCACGGACACAGCTCCTGGAGAGGTAAAACCTGCTTGTTTTTTCAAGGAGGTCTGAACTTGTTGCATAGGCTTTATGTTTGTAAGGAACTTCTGAATATAGTCTAGAAAGTAGATAAATGCTGCTGCTTTTTAATTAATTTTAAAATGTTTAGACTTTCAGAAAAACTGCAAGAATATTTTAGTATAGCTTACAGATCATACAGACCTGGATGATCCAAGTCTCTAACCTCTATGGAACATGGCTAACAAAAGGTTAATTATAGTTCGTTTTAAATAGAAGTAGGAATTGAAGGTAGACAAATCAGTGAAGAAATCAGTGGATTCCATGAATTATTTAAACCTTCGTGTGTCGCTTAAAGATTGATTTATACTATAAAGAAATAGTTTGTTATTTTTACTAAGCCATCCTAAGAACCTTCACACACATAGTATTTAGAATGCTCAAAATTTATGGCCTAATGCAGCTTTCTAAATTTATTGAAATTTTATCTTTGCATACGTATTTTTTAACCTGAGAATTTGATATTGTACTTTGTGATTTCAGTTAAAAGCAGTTCCTGTTTTACTGCGTTGCACATTGATGTGTTAGGATTTGTTTAGATCATGCCTGAGAGGAAAATATATACCAACAATCTCCTGTTTTGTTTCCCCAAACCTTTAGCCACTATATTTCCCTAAGAACTTCATATGTAGTCTGTCTCTTCTTCTCTGTTTCAAGTAAAATAAATCTCTTTAAAAAATAAGAAAAGATTGAATTGTTACAAGCTCAGAGTCAAGAGTTGTCTTTAGGAGTCTGATGACGTGCTGTTCCTTGAGGTCAGATTGTTCTTCAGTAATGAAGCAGCTGTAGGATGGAGCAGCCTACCTGAGGGCAGTGGCACAGAGGTGACTGTTTTCTTACAAAAGGTCTTCCTTTTAGGAAAAGTGTACCTTGCCATTACTGTATTCTCATGTTTTATTTCCATTTTTCCATTAAACAATAAATACCTTTTATTTTATCCATTTTGTGCACTAATTAATACACGCTGTAAATGCGTGATTTACAGTAATGATAATTTTGTTTGATTATTCTGAACATATTTCGGCAAAATAATGTTATTGGGAAGAGAACTATGGCAGTCAAGTAGTTTGTAGGCGTGTGTTTCAATTACAGTGGGAAAGTGGCATCGCCCTGCAACACAACACCACAGCCCGTTTCAGGAGCTGTCGCATAGAGACGAAGTATAGAAACTACACCGCCTTTCCTTTAGAATTCTTGGAAGTCATATTTGTCCACTGTTGGTACCGAAGTAAGATACTATAGAAATGTTATCTTTCATTATTAAAGTGTTTTTCTTTCCATTCCTTAATTTAACAAGTTTTGATAATTTTTGCCATCAGAAAATTGATAAATGCAAGCCACACCCACAGAACAGGGGCCTTTAGTTCTGTCAGCGGCTGTGACGGGATGGTGTATGAAGTGGAACCTCAATGCGGAGGAGACCTTTTTCTGCCAGGGGTCATTTGGATACATAAAACATTATTGTAGGCCATACAAAATAAACAACTTACTATGTAGTCTGCTATAACATCTCAAGTCCTATCAGCAGTTGTCTTGGCATGGTCCAACCAAATGGTTTTGCAAGTCTTGCATGGTCCACAGCTGGACATTCACCACCCTTTCCCTACAAGATATTTCAGGAAGGCACCCAGTGCCCAACATGCTCCAGAAGCCCCAGCAGGGCCGTCATCACTGGCCCATCACAGTCCTGTCCTGGAGACTCTGAGAAAGGGCATTTGGAATTAGGAGAGCAGGATTTCCAGATAAGCCGCAGTCTTTGATACACAGTTGCTGCCTTTTATTGCTTAATAAAGTTACCATTTATTTTATAGAGTATAATGCCATAAAACATATTGACATAAAGTATTTTATTCTTTCTTTTGTAGCAAGTTCAAGATGTAGCAAGCAGTCCACCCGAGAGCTCCTTCCAGAAACTAGCACCCAGCGAATATAGGTACACTTTATTGAGGGATCGAGATGAGCTTTAAAAACTTGAAAAACGATTTGCAAGCCTTTTGACCACAGCATCAGCTTACATGGTGGAAATAGTAAACCTATATTTTCATAATTCTATGTGTATTTTTATTTTGAATAAACAGAAAGATGTTTTGGGTTTTTAATTTTTTTTCTCCCCCTGACTCAAAATGCATTGTCATTTGGTATAGCCTCTTTTAAAAATTTTTGCTAGGGTAAAAAAAAATAAAAACCAGAGGCCTATCTTCACTTTCAACCTGTCCTGTAAAATTTTTATAAACAAAAGGTGACATTGCTAAAAACATGTGACTAACATGCATTGCTAGGATGAGGAGACCTGAGGGATGCCTCCTGTGTAGTAAGTGATTTTCTTTCTTTCCATATGACCAATTCTGTTGGCATTTTCAATATCACATTTCTCAAAGCTAAGGGGGTGTATACATATATATTCTGGATACTTGGGAGGGGAATAAATTTAAATTTTCTCACTGTGTGCTGTGTTTCCCTGATTGGTTGGATGTTGCTTATAAAAATTCCATAGTAGCATATTCTGGATTCTTAATGTATAACTTAAACATACTACAAAAGAGGAGGAGAGCCATAAGCCAGACATTTGGCAGAAATTGTTCTTAGGAATCAAGAAACAGAATGAAAAGTGTTATTAAATTTGTATGTGTTTGTCTTAAAAAAGCATTTGGAATTTTGAATGTTTTCTACCTATATTTGAGAAAGGAAGGTACTAGTGGAGCAGGTTACCATTTTAATACTAGATGGCTTTAAGACTCCTCCTAGCTAAGACTGTAGTTTCCAAAGAGAAATTTTGTTTCTGTAATTCTACTCCATCTTGTAGAGTCTGATAATTGTATAGACCAAAAACAGCAACAGTAAGGGTCATGTGTATTCAGGTTTTTTTTTCCCATTGTGTAACTGTTTGAGGACCCTATCCCCTCTAGATTCCCTGGATTCCCAGGCCCACGGTGTGCAGTCAGATGGGTCCCTGTGCCAGGGAATGGAACCAGAGGGAGAGGACCCTCGGTGCCGTATCAGGATATCCAATGCTGGAGGACAGACAGGCTTTCCTCTGGGCCTGGATAGGTGCTATAGGCCAAGGGTCATTTTATACTTGGGATATAAGTTCCAGTTTCAGGAAAGAATATTTTTAAGCTCAACAGGCTGACATGTGCCATTATATGTAGTTTGTAATATATGTCACATCTTCCAGTCCTTTTACAATGAGTATTTATAATGGATATTTAATAATTATTATTTTTAAAACTCAGCCTACAATTCTTAGTCATGCATGAATTACCCATAGTTTCCATAGTTTTATTCAGAAAATAAATGTTGATAATAAGGGGCATGTTTACTATATTTTACCAGATTGTGACTAGAAAGCTAGGACAGAACTTTCTAGAGTTTGGGCCTCAGTTCTGTTCTCATCATTATATTTGATCAGTAACTTGAATGAAGTCAGAGTTGTGGTAGTGAATCTGAGGATGGACCAAATCTCCAGGGTCAGCATGAAAATTCACAAGCATTCAACAAGTTTATATATAAGACCAAAAGCAGCCCATGCAATTAATTGGTTTGAAAAAATAATAAACACAAGATACCACTCAAGTATTGGGTTGCAAGGAGCTTGCTTCAAAGTGGTAATTATGAGGAGCACATGCTCAGTGCGACGTAGGTAACCATGAATTAAGAAGTGAGAGATGTGAAGATGCACGAGTTAAAGTTGATGCATACTTAGGCTTAGGCTGTAACCCTGCCATGTCGTTGTCTTCTCTGCCCTGTGAAGCCATTGAGGACAAGGACACTGCTTTTTGTATCTTCAGTGGATACAGCCCTCATTGAATGTTTCCTGAATGAATGAGGAGCAGAGTGATTTGGGATAATTTTTGTACTCAGCACTCATCAGGATTTAGTGCCCATTTCATACAAGAGCACTTACGGCTTGTAAGGGGTTTTAAAATGTAGGTGTTAAGGCTGTTTTGCTTGCAGACTGCTCGGGTCTGAGAACAGCCTATTGAAATTTAAAGGGTTGGTATAGTCTGTGGATCCCAGGGGTTGAACTGGGTTTAGGGGCAGGCGTAGGGAAGCATATTTCCATCTGGCATCTATTGAATGCAAAGGCTTTTAATTATAATATGGACACAGAGATGGATAAAGTATTATTTCTACCCTCAAGTTACTTCTAGTCTGGTTAGGCAGATGGATATCTAAATAGAAAATAGAGGTTCATGTGGCAGAAAGGAGTGCTGAGTCTCAAATAGTTTATAGAGGAGATAGCTATTATGCTGGTTATGTGTTCTTCAGAATGTAAGGAATCAGAGTGGAAGGATAATCTGAGGAAAGATATGAAACAGCAACTGCATTCAAGAAAACAAGTTCCCGTACTAGGGCCAGTGCATTGGGGGTCAGGAGGAAATGAGAGATTGAAGATAGACATGGGAGCTGAGCATGCGGGGCCTTGTGTGCTGAGCTGAGGAGTTTGGAGCTGCAGAGAGGCATCACCAGATTTCAGGCAGGGAAGGAGGTTCATATTTAAGTTTGATTGTAAGAATGGTGTGGATGCAGGTTCCAAAGCATAGACTTCCCCTCGTGTCCATGAATATCCATGGGTTTTATAGGTAGGTTCCCCCTCCATTCATCCAGCCTAGCCTAGGCTTCAGGCTTCTCAGATGTGGGGAAGGGGGGGACACAGAACTAGACTGAAGACAGAATCACAAAACCCAAACAAGGAGCAAGCTTTTGTGCTTTGCGGCTAGTTTTGCTCTTTTTCAGGAATCCTTCCAGCTGTGAGCCAACCATACAAAGATGGAAACTTTCTGTGACAACAGTCTAATTTTTTGTTGTTGTTAAATGAAACCACCCAGGAAGATAAGGTTCTGAAGTTAGAGCTCTCTGAAGTCAGATTGTTACAGATCGTGTGTAGGAGGACAAACTGGCATGGAAAGAGCTGGAAAGGATGAAACGAAGATGAAGTATTCCAGCTCAGGAACAGCTCCCTGTTTATAGACAGTACACATTGCCATGAAGGCTTTCGTGTGCTTTGGCTTGAATGTAAAATAGTACAATGAATGGATTGGTAATCATGAAAAGTAGGATAGCTCAACTCTTAATTGTGTCTCTGAAAGAGATAGTCTGGTTGGACACAAAATAACAGAATTGAAGGGAAGGAAAAAAATACCTTGCCACCTTAAATGATTTCCAGGCTGTTAGGCCCACACTTCTATCTGCCAAGAGCTGCTGGGAGTTGCAGTTGCTTTCTGTTAACAACTACTGGGAATTTCTGAGAAACCTTGGATAATATAGTGACAGAAGACTAGGAATGGCCAAATAGTATCCCTGCTTTCAAAATAATAATTATTAATGGCTTTAGCTATTCTAAAATATAACCTTATGAACCAAACTGAAATATTAGCCTGTATTGGAGGAAAAGTTATTAAGTAGATATAAAGAACAAAGCAGTTGCCAACTTTTAAACACAATAAAGACCATGAAGACTTAAGTTGTTTAAGGACTTAAATTGTTTTTTGACAATTATAACTGTTTTCTGTGTTCTTAAAAAGGTTGGAGAGGACCTATGCTTAGCAATTGTTTTTTAGCTGTGTCTGAATTTTTGTATGTATTTCCAAGTAATAAAACTATATTTATAAAATATTTCTATATTTGAGACTTTTTACTAATCCACTTTGTTACAGCTTTGTCACAGATGTGATCATATTGTAGAAACATTTTACTCATCATCTAGCTCATCAAGAGTCTGATTTTTCCAGGTTAAAAATCTGTGTTTAGGTAATTTCACTGTACTTGGATTTGAATGAGCTCTGTGGTTCCGCTCTGCTGATGTCTCACCTTGGCCTTGGCGCAGAAGCATCAAAGCTCCCTCTCGAAGAGCACACACTGGGGAAGCTGCTGCCGCCACACAACAGGAGTAGGTTTTGGAATCACTGGAGCAGGAAATGTGCAACTTTCAAATTAATTTTCCAAAATACTCCCCAGCAATTTCCTCATACTCAGCCCCAGTGCCTAGGATCCTGCCAGTGCCCCCTAGCCCTGCCTGTGCTTTGGGGCACCAAGTCTATTTAGAGTTTGAACCACATGTAAATTCCTTTCCTTGCTCATCACCTGAATGTCCTCAAAGCAGGACAGCTGTCTTGTATTCTCAGCAACTTGTGGCAGTGAAGGCAGTCAGGAAGTCACTGATGGAAAAAGGTAGTAACTGAACAGCCACATGCACGAAAGGACTAGAAAGCAGCATGATTCCTGGAATAGACTCGGCTAACTCACTGGAAAAATCTTACCTCATGGTTTTTCTCAGCCATAACTGCCTGGATGAATTTAGTTACTTCCAACCCCATGTCCTAAACTGGCTTTGGGACCCTAAGAATTTTGTCAGCGTAGGTTCAAATATTGCAGCACACATTAACCCAGAGATAACTTAAGGATCAGGGTGACACACCAGTGAGTGCCCTCTTGGGAACTGCAGAATCCTGTAGGGGCCCTGGGAGGTTTCTCAAGAACGTTGCCCATTTTGCAGGAAGTAGATAGGAACCAACCTTGAGAACCAGGGACCTTTCCTGGAGGAAGTGATTTTTTTTTATATAGGAAAAGGAGCTGTGCTCTGCTAAGCACAGGATGCTCCTTCCTTCGAGGAGAATTCTGCTAATCGAAGTGATCATTCTCTTTCTGCAAGTGTTAAGTATTGTTGTCCAGTTGTTTCTTCAACTGTGGTCCATTCAGATAAAAGGATTTTTTTGTTGCCTATCCAGGTTGTGTGCTCTGTGTATTACTTAGATGGCTGCCAGAGGAAAGATATATGTCCTCTATGTCCTGTAAAAATTTGCAGAGGGAGAATTAGATCACACCTGAAAGCCTCCGATTCTGTGTTGCTCAAACAGCATCCCTGGCTGTGCACATGGCAAGAAAAACAGAACAAGGCATCACTCGTGACTTATCGTTCTGACTAAGGAGCATGGATTTTGGCTTTTAAACACTGCTTAATAGTCCATTTCAGAAACTTTTGAGGATTCCAAGATAAAGTTCCACTTCTGTGGGTTCTAGAATCAAAACCGCCCAAGCTCTGCTTTGTTACATTTCCTACTTGCCATTTCTTCAAATGTTACTGATGATACTTTACCATCTCATCCAGGCAAGTGGCAGCAGCCTAAAACAACGTACTGTAGAGCACAAAGGGGCAATGGAGGATTAGTAAATATCAAATACTTTATTACTTTTCTTTCCCTCCAACTCACTGGTCAAATCAGGCTGAGCATTTGCATTGGAGACCTGGGTTCAAATCCTGTCAAGTGTCTGTCTCTTAATATCAGCCCTATTCTTGTCTGACTCTGTTCTTGCATGACAGAGCCATTAACTCCCACTGTTCTCCCACCCCAGCCTCCATATCACTGCTAGTCCGTCAAACTACATCTCCCTGGCTCCCAAGTATTCTGACCCCACAGGAAACAAATCAGTCCAAATTGATACTCTCCTATACCCTTTCTCTCCCAAGTCTCCACCTCCATCTGAAACGTCTCCATTCATAGCTTCCAAGTCCTAGAGACAAGTTTTGGATTTCTTCTGTCACGTTATTAATACACAGAAGTCAGTCTGTCCTGGAAAACTGGATCCCCCAAAAGGGTAGACGTACATGCTGTGACCTCATCATCTGACAATGTCTTGGTAGGGGGTGTAGTTGCTATTTCCCTTATCACTCTCATGCCAAGAAGTGCTACAAGAAACAGATGATACATCCCCTGACCTGATGGAAGTTGGTTGGAGACCAACCTGCGAAGTCCTAGAACATTGCAGAATTAACCACTAATGGATATGGGAACCACTGACTCACAGTTGTCAAGAAATGTCTAAAGAAATGGAGAACTGGACTGTGAAGAATTAGCCCTGTAAGAGTAAACTCTGACTTTTCTCAGTAGGTTTTCAACAAGCATGTATGGAAAGCACAGTTAGGCAGGAAAAAGTGGGCAGTCAGCATGAGGCAGGGGATCTCATCATAAGAAAGCGCAAATCACTTATGTATGGGAAAGACAAGCAAGTATTTCAGCAAATGTGAGATTTACTACTTACCTGTCAACAAAGGCAAACTAACAGACCCAGAGGGTATTGACACAAAGCCACAATTCCTTTAAACAACGATTACATTTTAAACAGGTAAAACCGCCCTAGCTAGAATGTGTTTTCATCACTCAGCTACACTTGGCTGGGTGTTCTCTGAGCACTCTGTGGTATTTTAGGTTTGTACCCTTTGTATGTGGTAGTTACCCTAGAGGCCCAGAATGCCATCCTAATCCTCAACTACCACATGATGCACAAGGTCTTCCCCTTCTTTTCCAAGTAGAGTTAGTCATTCTGTTATTAACACCATTTTTTGTATGATTTTGTCCATCCCTTTTTGGGTACTTCTGTGTTTACTGATTGACTTTTGTAGGCACTGGATTTCATTAGCCAGAATGGATACACTGTGTAGGTCTACAATTTTTCCATTTGTGGCCCCAGCACTTAACACACAACAGGACACCAGTTAAATAGTTTATTTGCATGTTTCCGTATTCAAGCACCACTTGGCAACATAATAAATGACAGGTGGGTATAGTAAATTTTACAGAATCTCACCATTGGGCTTTTCTTGCTGATTGTGGTTAACATCAACGGTTTAACAACAAAATGGAAGACATCTTTAAGGGGCTTACTGAAACTCAAGTGGACATCTTAGTGATTCACCTTACGTTAAGAATAAAGGTCAAATACTTGAGAAGTGAATGCAAGTTGTGACTACTCGTTGTCTTTCCTGTATGATGGCCCCCTCAGGGCCAGATCGATGAAGCTGCTGGACAACGCTCAGGCTCAGCTCTGAGGCGCACACATCACACGTTTGAAGTTTAAGACTTTCCAAGGAACAGTATCCCATCTTCTTGGGAACAGTATTTCTTTAAGAAACATGTTCTGAGCTTGTTTACAAGCTTAAAGTTCAGTTGACACGTTTTGCAAACTGAAGTATTACAGGAAATATTTTAGGCCAGAGAATGTGAACATATATTACCTTCAGCACAGAAAAAAACCTTAAAATTGTTCCTGTGGAATATTTATTTTTTTAATGACACTGACAGACAGCTAGTAGTGAGTTGGAAGAGATAAAGCTAGGACCAGAATTTGGAAGGCTGAGAGCGCATGTCTAAAAGGGGTTTGAGCCTATTTGGTGTTTAAGTGGAGAATGCAGAAAAATGAAAGATCAACCTGATACTTCTGCAGCAATGGTGTGAGGATCAGAGAGGTTCAGAGTTGAGGAAGATCAAGTATGGGGTGTGAGGCAATAGTCTGCTAGTAGAGTAAAGCCTGTGAATACACTTAGAAATGATGGCGGGGGAGGGGGGAGGCACTGTGGCACAGCACAAAAGCAATTCTCTGCCTGTGGCACCAGCATCCTTTATGGGCACCAGTTCAAGACTCAGCTGCTACATTTCCAATCTAGCTCCCTGCTAATGTGCTTGGGAAAGCAGCAAAGGACAGCCCAAGTCTTGGGCCCTGCAGCCATGTGGGAGATGCAGATGAAGTTACTGCCTTCTGAGGGGCTTAAAAAGGAGAAAGATGGGCTTAAAAAGGAGAAAGATGGGCTCGGTGGCGTGGCCTAGCGGCTTAAGTCCTCACCTTGAACGCACCAGGATCCCATATGGGCGCCGGTTCTAATCCCGGCAGCTCCACTTCCCATCCAGCTCCCAGCTTGTGGCCCAGGAAAGCAGTCGAGGACGGCCCAAAGCTTTGGGATCCTGCACCCGTGTGGGAGACCCAGAAGAAGTTCCTGGATCCTGGCTTCGGATCAGCATAGTATCGGCCGTTGTGCTCACTTGGGGAGTGAATCATCGGACGGAAGATCTTCCTCTCTGTCTCTCCTCTATGTATATCTGACTTTCCAATAAATAAATCTTTAAAAAAAAAAAAAAAGGAGAGAGATGCATCCAACTTTAAAGTGAAATTGACAGGACTAGGGTAGATAGAATGGCTGGAGTAGGTGACAAACAGGAATCCCAAAGACAGCGACCCTAGAAAGCAGCTTTGGAAGAGACAGAACTGTGGTCTTGAGGTTCCCCCGTTCAGTTCTCTGTTGGAATGTTAATGCTGGTCTAAGAGCCCACTACCCTAGGCAGGCAACTTAATAGGGCACAGCTAAAGCTCAAATCAACTTTAAGATTTTTTTTTTTAGACCATGCTTAGAATCCTAGCTCCTGTGCTAACTAGCTTTGTGATCTCAAGAAAAACATTCGACTTTGGCACCTTTTTTGTTTTTGGCTTTTCATTTCATTAATACAACAGATGTATTTTTTGTCTAACAAAATAATTTCCTTGACAGGGGGAGAGCAGATACCAACTGAGTCTTTTACCATTGATTATCTGTGATATTCCAAAAGTTTCTATTCAGAAGGTGTCAAGCCAGTGACCATAAACAGTGAGAACAACCACTCAGAAAAAAAGATGAAGGGCTCGGCACAATAGTGTAGTGGCTAACATCCTCACCCTGCATGTGCCGGGATCCCATATGGGCACCGGTTCTAATCCCAGCAGCCCCACTTCCCACTCAGCTCCCTGCTTGTGGCCCGGGAAAGCAGTCAAGGATGGCCCAAAGCCTTGGGACCCTGCACCCGCATGGGAGACCTGGAAGAAGCTCCTGGCTTCAGATTAGCTCATTTCTGGCCATTGCAACCACCTGGGGAGTGAATCATCGGACAGAAGATCTTCCTCTTTGTCTGTCTCCTCTCTGTATATCTGACTTTGCAATAAAAATAATTCTTTTCTTAAAAATAAGATGATGAAGTGTTAATAAACACAAGGCCTGGACATCTTACATTGGTTTAGCAAAGAGGAGACGCCCGCCTACCTCCCCGGGCCTCTGAGGGCTGAGGACTGTAATCCAGCACCAAGAGAACTCACGCACCCCAACATTTTCTACTTCTTGCCACAGACACCCATTTCACAGAACCTGCCTCTCCTGGAGGTTTCTTATAGCAGCAGGGAAGGGCAACAGGGATCCTGAGCGACAAGCACCTGTCACTGACACAGGGTACGGTTTGGTTTTTGTATTTCATGGGAGGAAAATATCCTTTGCTCTATATTTATGTTTCTTCAACTTCCTGTGATTGGTACTGGCAGGATCTCATCCTCCTCCCTGGGTAAGGGCAGGCAGCAGCCCACAAAGGGAGGATTTTGGACTTGGGGAAGGAACTCTCCCTTTATAGAACTGTTTGAATTAAACCTCCAAGTCCTGGCCCCAGGGGATGTGGCAGGTTCCTGGCTTTCTGGAGATCCTGGTTCCTGAAGATGGGGATAGACCTGGGGTTAGAAGCAGACAGAGGAAGAGGGCTCATGAGGATGAGGGAGTGTAGTCTGTGACTAATAAGAATGAAGATGGTTTTTCCCATATGTTTGCAAGGTGCTGATTCCAAAGGAAAAAAAAATCTCAAAAATGATCAAAATAATCCTAATGTTACTACAGGAAGCATGTGACTACCCAAGGATATCAGTTTAATGAAAATCCTTTGAATCCATGATATTATGATACATTTCTTGTAGTTAAAATTTATTTTTAAGTTATTTAAAAGCCCCTGTTTCAACAATAGTTATAATACATAAATATAGCGGAATCTATAGTTTAAGTGGAATGGAGATGCTGTTACCAATGAAGGGCCAAATTGAGCAACAATGCCTTTGGCATCGGATGCCATTAAACTTTTGGGAGCTGTTATTGGACACTCAGTGAGTAATCAGAAGATTGAGAAAGTGGAAGAAGCACTAATGAATGGGTCTTGTAAATTCAAAGTTTACCTTGCATTCTATGGGCATGTTGGTAATGCAGAAGGCAAGGACTTGCCAACCCCTGGGCTCATTCCTTTGCACCTGAGTGGCCTTGTGAACTGTTAAACCATGGAGTCTCTGGGTCCCTTCCCTGGAAAGTGCCCGGTGAAGTGCCTGGTGAAGTACCCAGTGAAGTACCCACACACAGGTCTTCAACAAACTGCAGTTCACTCTGTAAGGCTGGTTTGTTTGTTTCAAACTAAGGGTGGCAACACAGTAGGCTATGAAATCAACTTAGTAGGCTACAACTGGCTTATTTTAAAAATTGAAACAATAAAAGCATAGGAATGCCTTTCTCAAATGGTTGGTGTTGCTGCATTATGCATATCCCAGGTATTTCCAGAAGGGCAGATTTTACTGTGGGCTACAGCCAAAACGTTTCCAAGTTTGTGTTCTATGGAGGACTCCTCGGGGACAGCAACAGTGCTTCCAAGTGCTGCCTTGATCAGCCTCAGCCCTTCCCAATGTCAAGGCCCGACGGAGTGTTCCTTACCTTCTGCAGTGAAAACAAGACAGGAATCACAGGGGAGACAGTTGATAATACAGGCCATTAAATTCAATGTTTAAAATAGGTTTTTCCGTATCAGGCTAATTTAAAACATTTTGTTATTTATAAGGCTATCATGTATAGCTAATTAAACATGTCTAGAAATTTCTACCAAAAGTTGATTAGTTTCTGTCATTAATGAGATACAATTACTAAGTTTTAAATTATATACATTCTTGGGCCCAGCGCCATGGTCTAGTGGCTAAAGTCCTCGCCTTAAACATGCCAGAATCCCATATGGGTGCCAGTTCTAATCCTGGCTGTTCCATTTCCCATCCAGCTCCCTACTTGTGGCTGGGAAAGCAGTCGAGGATGATCCAGGGCTTTTGGACCTGCACCTGCGTGGGAGGCCCGGAAGAGCTCTTGGCTCCTGGCCTCGGATCAGCGCAGCACCGGCAATTGCAGTCACTTGGGGAGTGAACTATCAGACGGAAGATCTTCCTCTCTATCTCTCCTCCTCTCTGTATATATCTGACTTTGCAATAGAAATAAATAGATCTTTAAATTATATACATTTGTTTAGTTTGCCCAAGCATGAAGACTGTTAATGTAATGTTGCATCTATGAAGAGCAGAAAAAAATCAAAGGCTACTGTGAGTGCATATGAGTACATACAGAGGTGTCCCACACTGGCACACTCTGGGTCCTAAGTAAACCAGCGTTACATTTTTCAGTACCTAGAACTGCTGCTAAGATGCTGGGCTCCAAGTGTAGCTAATCTGCAGAATGAAGTCATGTGCTGTGCTGCAGAAGGGTGGAATACTGGAATTCACAGGATTAGGCAATACAGCTGATTACACAGAGGACTGTACCAAATGGATAATTTCGGCCAACAGAACTGGACTGGCTCTGCCAGAATCCCCCCGGGGACTGAGGCTTCAGGAATCCTGTCTTAACTAAGCACCCAAGTAAGTTCTGATCTTCATTTAGGTTTGGATATCATGTATTACAGTGATGACAAAGGTCAGAAAACAGAAGACTGGCAAAATTGGAAGCAACTGTTCAACCTTAAAGGAGTTGATTTGTAGACATTAGATAGAATTTGCTTCTTATTCAAAACATCTCCTTGATATTGCATTGCAGATATATATAAGTTTGCAGGTAGCAATACTGATAAAAAAAAAATGGTACTTTGTCTCATTGGAATTCATTGGAGAGAAGTGAAAGATGGCAATCAATAAGTTGTTAAAGGTAAATTCAGCAAGAAGGAAGTTAAGTGATATACCATTTGACTCCTTGATGAACCTCATCTCCCAGGCCCCTGCAGGTCCCCCACTCTGGAGCATAGGTGCCTATTATTGTCCTCCGAATAAATAGTAAGGCAAGAGGCAGTCCCCTTCTCCAAATTAGTTGGGTGCAGAGTGAAGTTGCTTGTAATCTTAACTTCCTATATAGTTTTTCCTTTCTAAATTTAAAGCTTTTTGCTGTCTGAGCTGGACCATGCTTGTCGTCAGTGCCAACCACCAGGATCAGCGCCAAGGCTGCTGCACTGAGTCTGAGTCTTGGCACTGGGCTTTGCCTTGCACCACATGAGAGAAAAGGAAAGCAGAAACACCATTCTGGGGAACAAGTAACAGCAGTGGTAAGTCAGGGAAATCCTAAGACAGCAAGGCCTGCGTGGAAAAGGGATATGGGCGTGAGGTAGAAGTTAGTTTGTGACTCTCAGAGGCCAGCTTAAAAGAAGACCTAGGGTTAAAGAGCTCTTGTGTGGTAAGCATGTCAGCCCTAGAAATTGGAACATATCCCAAGAAATGGTCTATTGTCACCCCACTCCTATGCATTTCAGCCCAAACTTTACCAACATTGCCAATACATTTTTTTTTTAATCTAGAGGTTACAGAAATGAGACAGAAAGCAATATAAAAAGGCAGACAATGAGGAAAGTGCCCATTACCCATTGGTAGAATTCACTCTAGAAACCAAAGAACTGCTGACAGTCATGAGGGAGGGAAGGCAGAGGGCACTGGGACTCTGCCATGTTGGGATACAGGCTGGCAGACAGAGCAGGCTCTATGACTGGCCTATTAAGTCTCCTACCAAGTGATGCTCTGTGTGCTTTATCTAAGAGAGGCAGACGAAGAAGAAAAGAAGATAGTGTCACAACAGGAGACATCTGAAAAGAGAAGTCAGGCCTGTCTTTCTTAACACGTCCAATTTCTGTCACCAGAACCCACAGTGGGACAAAACTGCACTGGGGTTCACCCATGAGGCAGTCTGCCTGTACCCCTTGCAAGGCCCTGATTGCTCTATCTGGTAGTATTAAGAAAGGCTTCTGAACTCCCATTTCTGTCCTTGCCCACAGGCCTAAAAATGTAGAAGTAAGGGCTCCAATTCAGAGTTGCAGAAGAATCATCTCTTCCTTAGCTCAATACTTTTATACAACTTAGGTCCCCGGCAGAATGATGCAGAGACTTCACATTTCCAGGCAGAAATTTGCTCTTTGGCAGTCTTTAAATTTTACCCGATGTCAACAGGATATAGCTTTAGCCTTGGCTCCTCATTCTGTCTCCATTAACTCCCTGGCAAACAACGAACTACAGCTTACCACAGTTCACCCGGCGTGAGTGTCTACACTAGAGCTGCTGTCTTGATACACTCGGGTTCCAAAAGCTGAGTGTCCAGCAGTGGCCTAGGTCCTCATTGGAACAGACACGGGCACCATCATAACAAAGTTTGGTTTTTAACTGCATTTTTTGTCTGTTTGGCTTGAAAGATCTGGGCAGCTGGAAGTGAGCTTCTCCATCATTTTCTGCTTCTTCCTTTGTATCAATTTTCCACCTGTGAAGCCCAACACCCCACCACCAAGTGCAGCTGCAATTCCTGCCATTTTGAAGCCTGCAAGGAGGCCAATCGGACCCCCCACCACTCCTCCGATGAGTGCACCTGCCACAGGCAGAGCTGCCAGCTTGTATTTTGCAGCCTGCAAAAAAAAAAAAAAAAAAAAGGAAAGGAAAGGAAAGGAAAAAAAAGAAAGAAAAATTCAATTTGGAAATTGAGTTGAGATTATCTGCCTGTGGTGATGTGCATTTTCCTCTCATTACTCCTGGCAATGCCTCTTTAACTCCTGGTACATAATTAGTCTAAAAGATTGTACTTGTGCAAGGTGGGAGGACAAAAATATTCCACAGGTATTGCAATTGTTCCAATCATCAGAACTTAAAAAATGAGCTGTAGAGCGTGGACAGCTACAAATTGATTTTACTTGTAAATCAATCCACAAACTAGCTGGCTGATTGAAACATTTTAAGCAGCCAGATTCCCATCCCCATCCAGTTTTTATGGTGCACAGAGGTTATTCCATGCCATTAGCGAGGGTTAAAAACAATATCCTATGGAAAACAGACAATCCCTCTCCGGGTGGGCTGACATGGTCCTCTCTTCTTGCCCTGCCTATTGCAAGCCCCTCATTCCTCTCCCTGAATTCTGAGCCTGTTCCTTTGCAACACCAACTGCAGAACAGTGGGGTACAGCTTACTCTCCCCTTGAAAAAAAAATTCATCTCCTGATAAAATAAATCTGAGAGTAGAATATTGCAACCATTGATTTCTGGCACCACCTATGTGTCGTTTCTTCCTTATTTCCTTAATTGCTGGTTCCCTCACCACTGAAGAGAGCAGATCAATCGGGTTAATACTAGAGATTCCTGGGAGCCCGAGTCCCATTGATTTGTCAGCAGGAGCAGAGTCTTACCTTCCCCAAGTTTTTGGTTCCCTCTTCAACATTCACAGCAGCAGTGTTGACATGGTCTGCAATGCTGTCAATCTTCTCCTGCTGAGACTAGATGCAAAGGAATTACGAGTGAGCATGCCTGCTGGGGAACTGCAGGAAGCCAACACACACTATTTTAATTCCTGTAATCAGGGCCCCAGGTATTGCAGCCTTGCAGTCTTAATAATGGTTCATTAATAGCATCTGATAAACCAAGTCAAAGGTATGAATTCACTTTCATGAAAGAAGAGGGGGGCTTAATTATTAGGTAATAAAAGGGTGGCACTTCTCTAGCAAAAAGCACTTCATACTGAAACACTGAAACACATAAACATATTATTCTCCAAATGAATCTACTTACCCTATTAAAAAAAAATCCAAATAAGCATTTACATGTCATGTTAAGTTTGATGGGAAAAAAAATTGAACCAAAAATAACCCTCTAACTTATCCTCTTTGAAGATTCTGTTTAAATCACATGAATTTACCTTAGGAGTAAAATGCCTTTGATCCATTAAATACAAATTGTGTTTTAGGGATAAGACTACGATGATTTACCATGAAATTTTTTTACTTGTGATACATACTAGGAAGTGGTGAATGAATTTAACATCCTATATTTTATGCCTGGAAACTTTAATACATTTTAAAGTCATGATGAGTTATAATTCTTCAGATCAAATACATTAATAGAGCATTGTAATAATATCACCACATCTGTGCTGATATAACCAACTGGTTCACGTGATCTGTGAGTAGAAGAAATGCTGGCTTATCCAGTACAATTCTGCATGTGGGAGGCCCCACTACAGCACTGTACCCTTGGTGTTACTGGACTATTTCACACCTTCAGTGATGGGAAGTTGTCAGTAGGCGCATATTCTGATTTTTTAAATCAAAATTGTTTAGATAGAATTTAAATACAATATGTACCCATTTTAATGGTATAGTATCATTTCTGAAAACTGTATAAATTGGGGTAGCCACCATTACAGTTAGTAGACTTCTTAATTTGAAGAACTAAAGAGGGGACTCAGTCTCTGATCCTAGACAAACGCCACCTTCCACAGTGAGAAGTAAGTTTAATAAGGTAGTGTTTAATTGTCCTTCGCGTATTCATTTATTCTGCAGCAGACACAAATAACACTATTCCAATTCCAATCCTCATTTGAAAACATGAAGCCCACACAACACAACAGCCAATTTTTTCCTGACAGTTGTTTCCCATTAAGAGTATTAATATTCCTTCCTTTCTCATACATTCATTATGTCTTTTCACTGTTAGGTCTTCTGTGATATTTTTTCATCCAAACATTCTCCACTACTATCTTTCAAATTATTTGTTTATTCTTATTTACTTGAAAGGCAGAGAGTGTTTCCCCCCACCCACCGGTTTACTCCCCAAAATGTCTGCAACAACCAGAGCTGGGCCGGGCTGAAAAGGGAACTAGACTCAGTGCAGGTTGCCCACAGGAGGCAGGGTCCCAGGTACTTGAGCTAAGCCATTATCTGCTGTGTCCTGGGTGCAAATTAGCAAGAACCTGGAATCAGAAGCAGTGCCCAGCACTCTAATGCAGTGTGTCCCAAATAGCAACTTAACCACCACATCAACTATCAGCCCTTCTCTACCACTATCTTGTTCTCACACAGCCCTGTAAAAAATGGCTAAGTGAAACAGATATTAATGCATTTAAAGGGAGAAATGGACTACATTACAATAATGTTTGGGGGCCTTAATACCCCATTAACATCAATAGACACACCAAAGAGACAGACACTCAGCAAGGAAACAACAGAGCTCACCCAGACACCAGAACAAATGGATTCAATTTATATCTACAGGACTTTTCATCGTAGAGACACATAATACACTTTTCCCCCTCATATCATGTCACAAAGCAAGCCTCAGCAAATTGAAAAAAAAAATATATGAAATATCATGCATCTTCTCAGACCATCGAGGAGTAAAACTGGAGACCAGTAGTCAGAATACCCCCAAAAGACATGCAAATACCTGGAGACTGAATAATATCCTGCTAAATGAACAACAAGCTATAGAAGAAACCAAAGGGGAAATTTAAAAATTGCTTGAAACAAATGAAGGTATCAACACAACATATCAAAACTTATGGATCATGATCAAAGGAGTGTTAAGAGAAAAGTTCATCTCAACCAATGCTTATGTCAACAAATTAGAAAAGCACCAAGTTAATGAGTTAACCATGTTTGAAGGAGCCAGAAAAGCAGCAGCAGAGTAATTCTAAGATTAGCAGAAAAAAAGAAATAACCAAAATACCAGAGGAAATAAACCAAATAAAGACTAAAAGAACAATACATAAGATCAACGAATCAAACAGCTAGTTCTTTGAGGAAATCAACAAAATAGATTCCTCACTAGCCCAAAAATCAAAAAAGGAGGGAGAAGACACATAGCAATAGTATTTTCAACAGGACAACATACAAGAGCAAGACATGGAAACAACCCAGATACTGGTCAAAAGAGAGGTTGATTAAAAAAAAACCTGTGGTACATCTACTCTATGGAATACTACTTAATCATTCCAAAGAATGAAATTCTACCATTTGCAACAAAATGGTCCCAACTAGAAACCATTATGCTCAGTGAAATAAGCCAATCCAAACGAGATATATATCATATGTTCTCTCTGATATAAAGCAACCTTCATACAAATTCAAGATCAATAGATTCATAGGTAAACATTCATGTACATATATTCATCTGGAGGAACTGTATTAGAGATCATCATATCAAGATGTGAAGGTACAGTGCAGTATGCATCTCTACTTCCATATTAAAGATGGACTCCCAATGAAACTATTAAATATATCCTCAGTATAAGATGTTGGAGATTCTTCCACTGTGCATACTTACAATGTCATCATACACTTAAATATCAGAATTATGGACTTATGACTGTTTCTGAAGAATTATACTATTATTAAAATGTAGGAGAAATTAGAGGAGGGAGGTTTTATGTGGTTAGGAAAGAGGAGAAATCCCTGAGCATATGGAACTGTATCATAAAATTAATTAATTAAAAAAAATGGTTCTTACACTCGAGCATGCAACCAGAAAAACCGGGAGGACTTCTTAAACACTGCTGGGTACTCCTTTCAGCGTTTCTGACGTAGTTGAACAAGGGGGAGTGTGAGTGTTTTCCTGATAAATTCATAAGTGAAGCTGATGCTGCCATTTTTCCCTTTGAAAACCCTCATATATGATAACAGCAAGAGCACAATCTTTGGTCAGATATTCTATTTCAAATCCCAGCACTGCCACTATCTGTCCTAGGACAGCGTTACTCAGGCACTCTTCAGTTGTCACAGAGGATAGTGAGACTTGCGGCTTGTAGAGCCAAAGAGAGGATTAAATGAGATGTCTGCCAAAGCATAAAGAGAAAATAGACAAAATCATTCCCATCTTAACAACAACAACAACAAAAAAAAGTGTTAATTCTCAGGTTTCCATCAAAAATATGGTGAACTTTTTCCTATGATGTTTTGAAATTCTAGGGTAGTAAAACATGAGATTCCTTCTAGCATTCATTCATCCAATTTTCCCTTTCCTCGTTGTCATCTTTCTTTTTCTTATCCAGAGAAGCAAAAGTGCCAGACTAATTATATTCAACTTAGCTGGACTTCTGACACCCTTTCATGTTCCCATTTGAGACACCCACAACACTTTCCGGTTTTGCCTGTAATGATATAAGCTAGCAGATAAATCACAGGGCTAACACTGCACAGTCCCCTTCAGGTCCTGATGAGCTGTCTCAGAGAGGAGGAACAGCCAGTGTGCCTGCCCTCCCTCAGCAGAAAGTGACTCCAGCACGAGGGAAGATACTTCCAGGCTTATCACCACTGCCACTGCCTGTGATCTCAAGGTCTTTTTTTTTTTTTAAAGATTTATTTATTTATTGGAAAGTGAGATATACAGAGAGGAGGAGAGACAGAGAGGAAGATCTTCCATCGTATGATTCACTCCCCAAGTGAGCGCAACGGCCAATGCTATGCCGATCCGAAGCCAGTATCCAGGAACCCTTTCCGGGTCTCCCATGAGGGTGCAGGGTCCCAAAGCTTTGGGCCATTCCTTGACTGCTTTCCCAGGCCACAAGCTGGGAGCTGGATGGGAAGTGGAGCAGCTGGGATTAGAACCGGCGCCCATATGGGATCCCGTACATTCAAGGCAAGGACTTTAGCTGCTAGTCCACGCCACTGGGCCCAATCTCAAGGTCTTAATGACATGCTTTTTTTTTTTTTTTTTTTTGGCAAAAACTGCTTGGAATAATTTGAAAAGAGAGTATAAGAAAAAAATATTTCTGGAATCACTGATTATTTGAAGTGTTAAAGCCTTCATGATTGCAATCCCCAGCACGGGATGAGGCCTCTCCCTGGCAAGTAGCATACATCTTTAAGTACTTATTCACTGACATCAGGAAACTTGCTTGAATATGGGGCATGACGATAAAACAAAGAGACTCTATCCTGGAGTCAACAGCCACCCTTTGTGATACACACCGCCTTTCTCTTCCCCATACTTTGCTTGATTTGAATTCTTAAACTGCTTGTATTCAAATTCCATTTTTCAAGTAAGGACAAACTCATTGACACAATAATTATAGCTAGACAGCAAACAGGTGTCAAAAAATGCCAATTACTATGAGTAGAACGCCAAACCTATCTCAGAGCTGAATCTGGTCAATATTGGTTCACCATGACCTTGGTTCATTGTTCTGCGTCAAACCATACAGACACAAGCCCATCCTAATCTACAAAAGCAAGCTCCTAGCAATGGTGATACAGACGTTTTCTCACTTCCGTCCACCGACCTCCCCCTTTTTGTTTCTGATTTGAATTTGCCTTCATGTTTGTTTTCATCTTAATAGGCCTCCAATGTGTGAACCTATTCAAATTCCCTGCCTGGCAATTTTACTTTACTCCAAAGCCATATTCAGCATTCCTTTAGCAATGAGCTAAACCATTTATGAGTGACACTGCAATGTTTCTCACAAGGACCATATATAGTCATAATTTTTAAAGACAATAAAGGA